TGTTGACTACCTCGCCTGGTATGCAGGAGGCCGTGGGTTCGACCCCGACCCTGACGCCTGCTGCTGCTGCTGCTGTATATTTGGAGTTTGCGTGTCTCTCTCTCATCATCAGCATCATCACAGTGGCTAGGAGATGTTAACTACCTCGCCTGGTATACATGAGGTCGTGTGTTCGATCCCGACCCTGATGACGCCTGCTTCTGCTGCTGTATATTTGGAGTTTGCGTGCGTGCGTGCGTGTGCCTCCATCTCCCTCCCCGTAGTGGCCGTGCGGATATTTTTCCGGGTCCTCTGTTTTTTTCCCCCTACACATTTTAGAATCGACGTAATGCGTTCCGAGCATTTCGCTGCCGCTATAAAGGTCCACGCGATGATGACGATGACGACGATGACGATGATGATAAGCCGTGATTTGTGAGAGTTAGGATCGCTTCTGAAAAACGATACCCCCACAGGTCACCTGCTTAAAATAAAAAAAATATTTATAGTTTATTAATTGAACGCAGCAACGCTGCCCCCTTGTGCATTTTACCGGACATTTACGTGAAAAAAGAGCTTCACGGCTCATCGGATTCGTCCAGGAATAGACATTCCGATTCTGACGCAGAGGTGTATTTGTGATCGTGTGCCACTGCTCATGAGAGACCTCCTCACATCAGGGTCCTCTGTGGGTCCTCTGTGGTCCTCTGTGGGTCTCTGTGGTTCTACATGAGCATCTGGATCTCTGTGCGTTTCTATGGGTCTCTGTGGTTCTACATGAGCATCTGGGTCTCTGTGGGTCTCTGTGGTTCTACATGAGTATCTGGATCTCCGTGGGTCTCTGTGGTTCTACATGAGTATGTGGATCTCCATGGGTCTCTGTGGTTCTACATGAGTATGTGGATCTCTGTGGGTCTCTATGGTTCTACATGAGTATCTGGATCTCTATGGGTCTCTGTGGGTCTCTGTGGTTCTACATGAGTATCTGGATCTCTATGGGTCTCTGTGGGTCTCTGTGGTTCTACATGAGTATCTGGATCTCTATGGGTCTCTGTGGGTCTCTATGGTTCTACATGAGTATCTGGATCTCCGTGGGTCTCTATGGTTCTACATGAGCATCTGGATCTCTATGGGTCTCTATGGTTCTACATGAGTATCTGGATCTCTATGGGTCTCTGTGGGTCTCTGTGGTTCTACATGAGTATCTGGATCTCTATGGGTCTCTGTGGGTCTCTGTGGTTCTACATGAGTATCTGGATCTCTATGGGTCTCTGTGGGTCTCTATGGTTCTACATGAGTATCTGGATCTCCGTGGGTCTCTATGGTTCTACATGAGCATCTGGATCTCTATGGGTCTCTATGGTTCTACATGAGCATCTGGATCTCTGTGGGTCTCTGTGGTTCTACATGAGTAGCTGGATCTCTATGGGTCTCTGTGGGTCTCTGTGGTTCTACATGAGTATCTGGGTCTCTGTGGGTCTCCGTGGTTCTACATGAGATCTGGATCTCTATGGGTCTCTGTGGGTCTCTATGGTTCTACATGAGTCTCTGAATCTCTGTGGGTCTCTGTGGGTCTCTATGGTTCTACATGAGTAGCTGGATCTCTATGGGTCTCTGTGGGTCTCTGTGGTTCTACATGAGTATCTGGGTCTCTGTGGGTCTCCGTGGTTCTACATGAGATCTGGATCTCTATGGGTCTCTGTGGGTCTCTATGGTTCTACATGAGTCTCTGAATCTCTGTGGGTCTCTGTGGGTCTCTATGGTTCTACATGAGTATCTGGATCTCTATGGGTCTCTGTGGGTCTCTATGGTTCTACATGAGTAGCTGGATCTCTGTGGGTCTCTATGGTTCTACATGAGTAGCTGGATCTCTGTGGGTCTCTGTGGTTCTACATGAGCATCTGGATCTCTGTGGTTCTACATGAGCATCTGGATCTCTATGGGTCTCTGTGGTTCTACATGAGTATCTGGATCTCTATGGGTCTCTATGGTTCTACATGAGTATCTGGATCTCTGTGGGTCTCTGTGGTTCTACATGAGTATCTTGATCTCTGTGGGTCTCTGTGGGTCTCTGTGGTTCTACATGAGTATCTGGATCTCTATGGGTCTCTGTGGTTCTACATGAGTATCTGGATCTCTATGGGTCTCTATGGTTCTACATGAGTATCTGGATCTCTATGGGTCTCTGTGGTTCTACATGAGTATCTGGATCTCTATGGGTCTCTGTGGGTCTCTGTGGTTCTACATGAGTATCTGGATCTCTATGGGTCTCTGTGGTTCTACATGAGTATCTGGATCTCTATGGGTCTCTGTGGGTCTCTGTGGTTCTACATGAGTATCTGGATCTCTATGGGTCTCTGTGGTTCTACATGAGTATCTGGATCTCTATGGGTCTCTGTGGGTCTCTGTGGTTCTACATGAGTAGCTGGATCTCTGTGGGTCTCTGTGGGTCTCATCCTTCCGATGTTAGGGAGCCAGAGGAGCTGTACACATTTAAATCATCATCTAGATCAGGGGTGGAGAACGTCCGTCCCACGGGCCGCAAAATCATTTGGTCTGTTCCAGCCCAACGCATTAGGGGGGGGGCCGAGTTAATTAAATGTTTGACTAAACCTTTAATTATAACGGGGCTAATTTCTAAGTTGATCAGTTTGTATGGCCCGCGAATGATGTTATTATAAATATCCAAATGGCCCTTGGCATAAAAAAGGTTCCCCGCCACTGATCTGGATTGGCCAACTCGTTCCATTGCAACTGCTTCTTGGTGTTGTGTTTAGCTTTTGTCCTTCCACCGCCCCGCACCTCCGATTAACCACGGTCGGCTACGTTTGGCGTTAAAGAAGTTCAACATACGTACATTAATACCCATAGACTCATCACACAGAGACCCATAGACTCATCACACAGAGACCCATAGACTCATCACACAGAGACCCACAGACTCATCACACAGAGACCCACAGACTCACCACACAGAGACCCACAGACTCACCACACAGAGACCCACAGACTCATCACACAGAGACCCACAGACTCATCACAGAGACCCACAGACTCACCACACAGAGACCCACAGACTCATCACACAGAGACCCATAGACTCACCACACAGAGACCCACAGACTCACACACAGAGACCCATAGACTCACCACACAGAGACCCACAGACTCATCACACAGAAACCATAAGACTCATCACACAGAGACCCACAGACTCATCACACAGAGACCCATAGACTCATCACACAGATACCCATAGACTCATCACACAGAGACCCACAGACTCACCACACTGCATCGCACGCTTCTGCAGCCAGTCCGGAACGCTCTTCCTCCCGACGTTAGGAAGCCACTGACACCCATCGACCCGTCACACAAAGACCCATGGACTCACACTGCATCGCGTGCTTTCAGGAAGCCAATAGGAGCTATGTACTTTTACATCATTGTCTAGACTGACAAACTAATGTCCTGCTTGTTGTTGTTGTGTTTAGTTTGATGTCCCCCCCCCACACACTCGCCACGCGTGGCTACGCACGGCGCCCAAGAAGTTCGACATCGGTACATGCTGGCGAAGATGTCGAATGAGGTGAGTATTTTTTTGGCCGACGACACGGGCCGAGAGGTGGCACACGCATTTGGCCGCGGCTGTAACCTCCAACCACCCCCCCGCCGCAGCGGCCCCGGTAAATACCGCGGCCTCGGGACGTTGCTCTCGGCAAGAGTCGGCGAGGACGCGGCGACAGATCAGCCGGGCGTCATACCGGCTGATCTCCGAGCGTCGTGCCAGCGGATCTCCGAGCGTCACGCCAACGGATCTCCGAGCGTCATGCCAACGGATATCCGAGCATCGTACCAACGGATATCCGAGCGTCGTACCAACGGATCTCAGAGCGTCACGCCAGCGGATCTCCGAGCGTCATACCAGTGGATGTCCGAATGTCACACCAACAGATCTCCAAGCGTCGTACCAACGGATCTCCGAGCGTCACGCCAACGGATCTCCGAGCGTCGTACCAGTGGATGTCCGAGCGCCACGCTAACGGATCTCTGAGCGTCATACCAACCGAATCTCCGACCATCATACTAACGACTCTCCGAGCGTCGTACCAACGAATCTCTGATCATCATACCAACAGATCTCCAATCGTAATACCAACATATCTCAGGGCATCATACCAAACGGCTACCCGAGCATCATACCAATAGACCTCTGAGTATCACACCAACGGCTCTCAGAGCATCATATGTGGATATCCGAGCGTCCTATCGGCAAATCTCCGAACGTCATACCAACAGATCCCCGAGCGCCGTACCAGCAGATCTCCGAGCATTATACCACGGTTCTTGCCGATTCATCGCCGAGCGTCATACCAACGAACATTCAACCACCATACCAACAGATCTCCGAGCGTCACACCAACAGATCTCCGAGCGTCATACCAACAGATCTCCGAGCATTGTACCACGGTTCTTGCCGATTCATTGCCGAGCGTCATGCCAACGAACATTCAACCATCATACCAACAGATCTCCGAGCGTCTTACCAACAGATCTCCGAGCGTTGTACCACGGTTCTTGCCGATTCATCGCCGAGCGTCATACCAACGAACATTCAACCATCATACGAGCAGATCTCCGAGCGTCACATCAGCAGATCTCCCGAGCGTCGTACCAACAGATCTCCGAGCGTCGTACCAACAGATCTCCGAGCTTCGTGCCAGCAGACCTCCGAGCGTCGTACCACGGCTCTTGCACGATTCGTGGCCGTACCAACGGACATTTCAACCATCACACCAACAGATCATCTCCGAGCGTCACACCAACACATCTCCCGAGCGTCGTACCAACAGATCTCCGAGCGTCGTGCCAGCAGACCTCCGAGCGTCGTACCACGGCTCTTGCACGATTCGTCGCCGTACCAACGGACATTTCAACCATCACACCAACAGATCATCTCCGAGCGTCACACCAACACATCTCCCGAGCGTCACACCGGCGCGCGGCTTGGCCGTACTCACCGGTTGCCAGGCGAGGGAGTCCAGCACGGCCTCCTCGCAGCACCTGAGGTGCCTGATGACGTCGCGGGTGAGCGACGTCTCCGCGCGGATGAAACTCTCCAGGACCTGGTGCGACAGGGGGGGGCGGTGGCAGGTGGGTGACCAGGGCCGGATTCAGGTTCTTGTAGGGCTCTAGGGCGGACACGGGCAAAGTAGGGCCCCGTACACGGCCCGTTGGGATTTTTAATCCGGCCCGCCGAACGTGTACAAATATTATTATTATTACTAAATTAAATTTTACCTCTCTCCTGTAATGCCCCCATTTCCCCCATTAGATGGCGCACTTTGACCGGGAGTGCGGTGATTCGTTTGGGGCTCAGGCCTCGGATGTTTTCGTGATGTTTGACGAGTCGCGTTACGACGTGTTTTTTATATTATCGTTTTATATTACGTTCGTGCAATTCGTTAAATTGCCTTGCAAAACAAAAAAGCTTTGCTAACCCGTTAAAGGCCAAATCCTTTCACGTAAATGATTTTTGACACGTCATTTATTATTAGTTCACACAAACACTCCGTCCATCTGTTCCTGGCCCGGCCCCCTCTGTCAAATTGTATAACCCATTGTGGCCCCAGCCCTAGAGCACACCCTAGAGAGCACACCCATTGTGTGCTCTTGGGCTGGGGAAACTTTTTTGTGCCAAGGGCCATTTGGATATTAATAAAACATAATTCGCGGGACATACGAAATGATCAACTGAAAAATTAGCCCCGTTATATTTGGTCAAACGTTTCATTAACTCACCCACCCCTAATGTGATGGGCTGGAAGCGCTTCTCTTTGGCGAGGCGCGGTGATGATGTTAGCCGGTACCGACGACGTTGCTGCTGCTGCTACTCGCGACCGCTTTGCCAGGCTTTGCTCTCCTACATTTATCGAATTTCGAGTCCCCGCCTTGCGGTTGCCTTGGCAGGGCCAGAGACCCAAATGATTTCGGAGGCCTCACACGGCCCGCGGGCCGTGCGTTCCCCACCCCTGCCCTAGGCACTGCTGTTTCGTAGGCCTCGAGTGACAACTCCCGACAACAGGTGGCACCCGCTTGCCTCCATGTCTCGCCACAAAAACGCCACCGTCGCTCAGATCAACTCGCGCGATTCGTGCCTCGTCCAGCCGCTGGGCAGACGTCGCTGCCGACGCCGCCGCCGCCGCGTTGGTCACCCCGAGCCCTCGTTACGTTGATAGTGGCGTTGTCTTTGAGCTGCGCGACGCCTTTTGACGTCATCTGGTCGAGCACCAATCGGGTCGAGGCTCAAAAGAAAAGCCGTCCCCTTGGTGCGGACCAATCAGTTTCAAGGACAATGCATCATATATTATCATAGTATGTGTTTTCATAATAAAGGTTTTTGGGTTAGATCGCGTTTATTTATAAATGTGTCGTAACCCTCCACCACCCGACACGGCCAATCAGCAAAAAAAGTGTCACGTTGACAAAAGACAAATAATTCACTACTTTAGCCCACCGGTGTGTTTAAGAGTGAATCCACATTTACAGTTTGAGTACGACGTTTCGCTGGTAAATACATCCAGCATCATCGGGCAATTCGCCAGAATGGTAAAGCCCTCGCTTTCTCCCGGTTTTATATAGAGCAGCATGGTGACGTCATCACTTAACTCATATCAGGTGCAGTGATTAGAGGCGGAGGGGGGGGTATTGTAATTATATAATCGATTAGTAATCAGTCATTGGTTATGATTAGTAATGAGTTGTAGATTAGTAATTCTTTAATCAAAATGTAATGTGTATTATTTAATAATACGCTTCCAGGCCGCACTAAGCCTGTAGCTGTCAGAGCGATTAAAGTTATTCTTGTTCCTCTCAATTTCAATGGATTCTCCGCCGCGTTGGTCACCCCGAGCCCTCGTTACGTTGATAGTGGCGTTGTCTTTGAGCTGCGCGACGCCTTTTGACGTCATCTGGTCGAGCACCAATCGGGTCGAGGCTCAAAAGAAAAGCCGTCCACTTGGTGCGGACCAATCAGTTTCAAGGACAATGCATCATATATTATCATAGTATGTTTTTTTTTTGCATTTTGACAGCATACATACATTTTTCGTCTCCCCCCTCCTCTTTTCCGAACATAGATGGACTCGTCCATCTAAACAAACTGTCAAATCGCTCTCCGTGGTGCTAACGTCAAAAATAAATAAATACCACCACTTCTTTCAAATGATTTTGCCATTGGTTTTCACACCTGATGATGACTGCTTGTGGTGTGGCAGTCAAAACGTCGTGAGAATTTTGTTTTATATATATTTTATTATTTCATTGTTTCCCTTCAACGTGACTTTACCGAAAGAACCAATAATATAAATCACTGCAGTCACGAAAGCTTTAAATCAAAATTTTAAATGCACATATTATCATAGTATGTTTTTTGTTTGCATTTTGACTGCAGGTATTGTGGTTAATGCAGTAACATGAATCCTTATTATGCGTTGGTCGTTGTTTCAGAAGCGGATTTAATTTGAAACACCGTGCATATATTTGCTACACGTGAATATATTTAATCGAGAAGATATCTTGGTTACATTTTTTTTTTATCAAACAAACCGGGCCCTAAGGTACAGTAGCTACTGTGGCCTACTGGATAATAGGGCCCTGAGTGAGTGGGTGAATAAGTGAGTGGGTGAGTGGATTGGTGAGTGGGTGGGTGAATGGATGAGTGAGTGGGTGAGTGGATAAGTGAGTGGGTGGGTGGATTGGTGAGTGGGTGAGTGGCTGAATGAGTGGGTGAGTGGATGAGTGGGTGGGTGAGTGGATGAGTGAGTGGGTGGGTGAGTGGATGAGTGAGTGGGTGGGTGGGTGAGTGGATGAGTGAGTGGGTGGGTGGGTGAGTGGATGAGTGAGTGGGTGGGTGGGTGAGTGGATAAGTGAGTGGGTGGTTTGGATGAGTGAGTGGATGAGTGAGTGGGTAGGTGAGTGGATGAGTGAGTGGGTGGGTGAGTGGGTGGGTGAGCAGGTGGGTGAGCGGGTGGGTGAGTGGATGAGTGGATTGGTGAGTGGGTGGGTGAGTGGATGAGTGAGTGGATGGGTGGATGAGTGGATGAGTGAGTGGGTAGGTGAGTGGATGAGTGAGTAGGTGAGTGGATGAGTGAGTAGGTGAGTGGATGAGTGAGTGGGTGGGTGGATGAGTGAGTGGATGAGTAAGTGGGTAGGTGAGTGGATGAGTGGGTAGGTGAGTGGGTGGGTGAGCGGGTGGGTGAGCGGATGAGTGAGTGGGTGAGTGGGTGAGTACGGTGCGAAAAAAGTACGGTGCGAAAAAAGTTCAATGTAGACACACACACCTCCCCCCACCCTCCCCCGCTGTGGGTGGGGCGCGTTGCCGCCACCTTGGATAAGTTATACGGCGAGAGGACTCCAGCACCTCGCATACGCAACGCGCGCGTATGCGTACGTCCGCATACGCTTATACAACGTACGTACGCTTATACAACGTACGTACGCTTATACAACGTACGTACGCTTATACAACGTACGTACGCATATACAACGTACGTACGCATATACACCGTACGTACGCATATACACCGTACGTACGCATATACACCGTACGTACGCTTATACACCGTACGTACGCTTATACACCGTACGTACGCTTATACACCATACGTACGCATATACAACGTACGTACGCTTATACACCGTACGTGCACATACACCGTACGTACGCTTATACACCGTACGTACGCATATACAACGTACGTACGCATATACACCGTACGTACGCATATACACCATACGTACGCTTATACACCGTACGTACGCATATACAACGTACGTACGCTTATACACCGTACGTACGCATATACACCGTACGTACGCTTATACAACGTACGGACGCATATACAACAGTCCCCCCTCGCCCCTACCTCCCCCCGCCCACTTTGAACGTGGGGGGCGCGTTTGCCGCTACCTTGTAGAAGTTGTAGGGCGACAGCGAGAGGACTCCCAGCACCCAGGGGAAGGAGACGCCGCCGGAATCCTCCGGGGAGCCGATCATCGTTCCACACGAGCCGCTCCCTGCAACGATGCACGCACCACGGGAATGCACGCACGGCCGGCGGCGGCGGCGGACACGTGCCGCTGGACGGGAGGCGGCTCGGCGCGACCCCGCCGTAGGCTCTCGTCGGCCGGCCGTGTAAACGCCGCTTGTATCAGTGCTGTGCGTACGCCGGCATGCATGCTGCGTGCGTGTCGGACTTCTTTCGCACCATACGTGGCCAACCGCCGCTCATCGGAGGCGCGTGGCGAAGGCCAAGCTGAACACAACAAGAAGCAGTTGTGAAGAAAATGAGTTTTCAATTCAGTATGGTCGCTTTAGCGTGTCGTAGTGTACAGTGTAGTGTGCAGCACGGTGTGTGTAGCCTAGCCGTGTATAGTGTAGGAGTGTAGTGTACAGTGCAGTGTATGTGGGTCTTCTTTGGCACCGTATGTAGCCAACGTCACCATTCGGAAGTGCGGGTGGGGGGCCAGGACAACAAACTAAACTTAAAACGCAGTTCTAAAGAAATGAGTTTGTCAATCTAGATGATCATTTACAAATGCAAATCTCCCGGTGGCTTCCTAACGTCGGAAGAGCATTCCAGACGGCCGCAACAGCGCGTCCGAAAGCGCCGTGACGCAGCGTGCGAGTCCACGGGTCTTTGTGTGGCGATTCTATGGGTCTCTGTGTGATGAGCCTTCCCCACGGGCTTTCTGTGCGAGTCTATGCATGCCTGTTGAACGGCTTTCACGCGGTACGTTGCGAACCGTTGCTAATCGGAGCTGGCAGTGGGGGGGGGGGGGGGGGGGGGAAGGACAACAAAATCAACACACAACAGTTGTGCAACTACTGATCAAGTGTGGACAAAGCAGTTTCGGAGGGGAGGTGAGGGGGGGTGTGTGTGTAGGCGCAGCGTTCTTGTACCAGAAAATAAGCTACGCCCTTAAAGTCTGCGGGAGCAAAACGTCTGACGCGTGTTTGAGGTGTCTTAAAATCAAACTGTTTCTTTATTTTTCAGTTGCACAAAATCGAGCTTATGCCGAAGTTATACCTTTGCCTGTTCACGTACTGTGTATCACTTCGTCGCACGTACTGTATCACCCTGTCGCACGGTCAAAAGACTGTATCCACTCGCTCCCCATCGGTGCATCTCATAGCCCCCCCCCCCCCCCCGTTTATACTGTAAAAACCGGAAGTGACGTCATGGGTTCAACCAACAGAGCGTCTAACCACAGGGGGGGGGGGGGGGTTTCTACACAGTTGGGATATTCCAAATCAAATATAACCAGTCCGTCAACAAATGCATGACTTTCTGTCTTATGGCTCTTACAGGGGGAGACGCCACGGTGGCTAGGAGATGTTGACTACCTCGCCTGGTATACACGAGGCCGTGGGTTAGATCTCGACCCCTGACGACGCTTGCTGCTGTATATTTGGAGTTTGCGTGTCTCTCTCGCTCTCATCATCATCACGGTGGCTACGAGATGTTAACTACCTCACCTGGTATACAGGAAGCCGTGGGTTCGATCTCGACCCCTGACGACGCTTGCTGCTGTATATTTGGAGTTTGCGTGTGTCTCTCATTATCATCATCATCACGGTGGCTAGGAGATGTTAACTACCTCGCCAGGTATACAGGAAGCCGTGGGTTCGATCTCGACCCCTGACGACGCTTGCTGCTGCTGCATATTTGGAGTTTGCGTGTCTCTCTCGCTCTCATCATCATCATGGTGGCTAGAAGATGTTAACTACCTCGCCTGGTATACAGGAGGCCGTGGGTTCGATCTCGACCCCTGACAATGCCTGTGGTATATTTGGAGTTTGCGTGTCTCTCTCGCTCTCATCATCATCACGGTGGCTAGAAGATGTTAACTACCTCGCCTGGTATACAGGAGGCCGTGGGTTCGATCTCGACCCCTGACAATGCCTGTGGTATATTTGGAGTTTGCGTGTCTCTCTCGCTCTCATCATCATCACGGTGGCTAGATGTTCACTACCTCGCCTGGTATACAGGAAGCCGTGGGTTCGATCTCGACCCCTGACGACGCCTGCTGCTGCTGTATATTTGGAGTTTGCGTGTCTCTCTCGCTCTCATCATCATCACGGTGGCTAGGAGATGTTAACTACCTCGCCTGGTATACAGGAGGCCGTGGGTTCGATCTCGACCCCTGATGACGCTTGCTGCTGCTGTATATTTGGAGTTTGCGTGTCTCTCTCCGCCGTGGTGGTCGCGTAGTATTTTTCTCCAGGTTACTTCTGTTATTCCATCCCCCTTTTCGAGACAACCATCACGCATTTTAGAGTTACCTAGCTCCTGTAAATTTCCCCCGTGATGATAAGTGTTCTCTTACGGACGAAGAAGAACCGCGTTGTAAGCAGGGCGTCCGTGGGTTCGATCCCGACCCGGACGACTGCTGTATATTTGGAGTTTGCGTGCGTGTCTCTCTCCCTTCTCTTTCTCTCTCTCGCCCCCGTGGTGGTCGTGTGGATTTTTCTCCGGTTCCTCCGGTTTTTTCCCCCTCCACATTCAGACTCGACGTCACCGCGCGTTTATTAGAGTGTTTGGCTGCAATCAATTTCCGCGTGAGGATGACGACGATGACGGATGATAAGCCACCACTTGCTGGAGCTATCATTGCCGACGGCCAGGTAGCCTCTGAAAAACAGCTACGTAGCTCAGTTAGGCCTTCCTTACCTGGTGAAATAAAAAAAATTCGTGTAGTTTGTCCCTCCACATTTAGAATCGACGTCACGCGTTTAAGCGCATTTAGCTGCTCTAAATGTCCACGCGGTGGTGATGGTGATGATGATGATGATGGTGGTGGTGGTAAGCCGCTTCGTTGAGCTACCATTTGCGACGGCCAGGTCGCTTGTGAAAAAGAGCGACGTAGCAGGTCGGTGGGGGGGGGGGGCCTTGCAGCTGCTAAACAGTTTAGTTTCGTAGTTTAGTTTCAGACGGGACCGCGGGTACTTACAGGAGCTGTTGTACGTCGCCATGACCACCTCGAGCGAGCAGGCGAGCAGCGACACGTGGAACGTCTCGATGCCCAGTAGGGTGCTGTGTGTGTGTGTGTGTGGGGGGGGGGGGGAAGAGGCATAAAGGAAGGAAAATTAGCGGATTAACGTACGCGCGTTGTCGCTTGCTAAAAACCAAACTTTCTACTTGTTTCATTTCACCAGGCGCTAGGCCCCATTGAGATGCTACGTCGCCGCTTTTCAGAGGCGACCTGGCCCGTCACGAAATGATAGCTCAGCAAAGCGGCTTGCCATCATCACCGTGGGCATTTGGAGCCGCCAAATGAACGAAACGCGTGACGTCCATTCCACTTGTGTCGGGACAAACTACACCAAACTTATATTCTTAGTATTTTCGGTAAAGTCACGTTGAAGAGAAACAACAAAATAATAAAATATATATAACAATAAATTCTCACGACGTTTCGACCATAACTCAAACGGTCATCTTCAGGTGTGTTGGTTTGCATAAATTTATTTTTAAACGGCGCATTTACACCTGAAGATGACCGTTTGAGTTATGGTCGAAACGTCGTGAGAATTTTTTATTGTTTTATATATATTTTATTATTTTGTTGTTTCTCTTCAACGTGACTTTACCAAAAAAACTAAGAATATGAATTACTGCAGTCACGAAAGCTTTAAATCAAAATTTACACTAAACTTATAAACTATTTTTTTATTCTACCAGGTAAGGAAGGCCCAACTGGAGCTGCGGAGCTGTTTTTCCAGAGGCGACCTGGCCGTCGCCAACGATACAGTGAGGGGAAAAAAAGTATTTGATCCCCTGCCGATTTTGTACAGGTAACAAGCTCCTGATCTCAGCTCGTTCACCTGTATAAAAGGCACCTGGGAGCCAGAAATCTTTCTGATTGAGAGGGGGTCGAATGCTTATTTCCCTCATTAAAATGCAAATAAATTTATAGCATTTTTGACATGCGTTTTTCTGGATTTTTTGTTGTTGTTATTCCCGCCTCTCACTGTTCAAATAAACCTACCATTAAAATTATAGACTGATCATTTCTCTGTGTCAGTGGGCAAGCGTACAAAATCAGCAGGTGATCAAATACTTTTTTCCCCTCGCTGTAGCACCAGCCAGTGGTGGCGGCTCATCATCATCGTCGTCGTCATCGTCGCACGGAAATTGATAGCAGTCAAATACTCATTGGTTTTTTTTTCGGTAAAGTCACGTAGGTAAAAAAAAAATGAAAACAACTAATATTCTTAGCTCTTTCGGTAAAGTCACGTTGAAGGGAAACAATAAAACAATAAAATATATATAAAACAATAAAAATTCTCACGACGTTTCGACCATAACGCAAACGGTCATCGTTAGGTGTGAAAAACCAACGGCAAAAAACATTTGAAAGTGGCGGCGGTCCGCATTTATTTATTTATTTTAAAACACCGCATTTACTTATTTATTAAAACATACGTTAGCGCCACGGGCAGCGATTTGGCAGTTTATTTAGAAGGACGAGTCCATCTATGTTCTGAAAAGAGGAGGGGGGAGACGAAAAATTAATGTATGCTGTCTGAAAGCCACCGTAAGCGTGAACAATTAATTAAGACCTGAAATGGTTTATCAAATCCTTCCAATGATTGCTAAGCCAGAATCCATCTTCTCGGTTGAAATTGTCTCCGTGCTTGTATATGTGGATAGCCTCACGAACGGATCTCTCATGGTAGCCAGATGGCTTACAAAGAACCTCTGTCTTGGAGCAGTCAATGTCATGTGAGCCTACAACTAAATTAAATACCGAAAAGTCTCGGTATTTTCGCTGGAGAAGTCCACACCCGATGGTGAAGGTCTCTTGCGTTGCTTCCGAAACGTCGCGATTTCATTTAGTCGTTTTCACTTATTTTATTTGATCGATCGAATTTTTTTTTTTTTTTACCTTCGTGACTTTACCGGGGGGGAAAAAAAAAACAAAGAGCAATGAATCCTCGCAGTCGCGAAGGCTTCAAATCTGGCGGCCAAACACTCTTAATAAACGCGTGGTGACGTCGATTCTCAACGCGGAAGGGGGGGTGGGGGGGAAAGCCCCGAGGGACCTGGGGAAAAAAAAATCCACACGACCACCACAGGGAAGAGAGAGAGGGAGAGAGAGAGACACGCAAACTCCAAATATACAGCGGGCGTCCGGGGTCGGGATCGAACCCACGACGTCCTCCTTACAACGCGGCTCTTCTTCGTCCGTAAGAGAACACTTTCGCACAGCGCGACGTAGTTTACGCGCGCCTCCATCGCCGTGAGATATCCAATTCGCATCCGCGTTGTAACAAAATGCGTTCCGTAACACAGCAAAACCTTGGTGGGATTGCGAGCGTAATTCGTTTCCGGAAACGTGTTTGTAATCCAAAGCGCTCGTACGTCAAAGCGCTCGTAGTACAATAAAGTATTAAAGCTTTCGTGGTTGCATCAAATTACTCATTGGTTGTTTTCGGTAAAGTCACGTATGTAGAAATACAATAAAATTATATTAAAACAAGCGTGTATACGTCCGCTGCTCGCATTTGCAAGACCCTCGCTCGTTTATCAAGTTATTATATTCACTTACACAATTCTGCTCGTCTTGCAAAATGCTCGCAGGCCAAGTTGCTCGCAGTCCACAAGGTTTCACTGTACTACATTCATAACGCGTTACACATCCAATTCGCGTTAGGGGCCGTCCATAAATGACTCCATCGTCACACGGCGTCACAGAAAGTCAGACCCCCCCCCCCTCAAATGACGTCACAAAGCTCTACCACCCCCCCCCCCCTTCAAATCGCTTTAAAGTACGGCCCGGGGGCCCGTTGGGCTTTTTAATCCGGCCCGTCGAACTTGTCCAAACATCATTATTATTAAATAAAATTTTACCTCTCTCCTGTAATGCCCCCATTTCCCCATTAGATGGCGCACTTTGCCTTGCAAATAAATGCTTTGCTACCTGTTAAAGGCCAAATCCTTTCATGTAATGATTTTTAACACTTCATTTATATTAGTTCACACAAACACTCCATCCATCTGTTCCTGGCCCGGCCCCTCTGTCAAATTTTAGAACCCATTGTGGCCCAAGAGTCAAAAAATTTGCCCACCCCTGCTTTAAACTATGGTCATTGTAGTTGCGTATTTAATGTGGCGCTGCACTCCGATGTTGTAGGAGAAAACACTTATTAAAAAAGTCTATTTAATTAAGTAGAAACGTGTTGTCTTTATTTATTTAAAGTTGCGCATTTTTTACGTGACGTCACATTTCTCAAACCCCCCCTCCCCCGCCTCCTCGTCACACATCGTCACAAATGTCTGACCCCCCCTCCCCCCCAGGGGCGTGACGTCATTTATGGACGGCCCCTTATAAAAAATAACATGCAGCGTTACAGGACGGACGGACCGTGCATGTTTACGTACGCACACAGCGTAAAACATCAAATGAAATAGGACAAACATCTGTCATTGGACAGACCAGGTTCCACGCAACCGATACTGGGTAACGGCAAGAGTCTTAAAAGGTTTGTAAATGTGACGTTTGGCTGCAGCCGATTAGATATACAAAAACCCGCACAGCGTAAACGTCAAATGAAACAGGACAAAAAAAAATCGAACCGGGTTCCACGCAACCGATCGTGGGTAACAACAAGAGGGGTCCCACTGGGCGCTTAATGCAACGTTTGACTAGCGGTCCGATGGCGTTACTCCCGATTGTGGGTTCCCTCCCACCTGAAATCTTGCATGTTCAGCCGCTCTTCCTCCTGAGGGGAACACGGAGGGAGACAACGCCACGGTTGAAAGCAAAAACGTTCCCGGCCGTTTACGAGGCGCACGTCCGGTGGAGGCTACGGCGATGGTGGACGATGTTGTGGGCGGGCTGGCGGGTAGGGCGGTCAACACGGCCGCAGAGCGAATGCTGAAATGTGCACGATGGAACGACGCTGCGGGTGGGTATGGGTGGGGTTGTGTATGGGTATGGGTGGGGTGGGTATGGGTGGGGTGGGTATGGGTGGGGTGGGGTGGGTATGGGTGGGGTGGGTATGGGTGGGGTGGGTATGGGTGGGGTGGGGTGGGTATGGGTGGGGTGGGTATGGGTGGGGTGGGTATGGGTATGGGTGGGGTGAGGTGGGTATGGGTATGGGTGGGGTGGGTATGAGTGGGGTGGGTGGGTATGGGTGGGTTGTGTATGGGTGGGTTGGGTATGGGTGGGGTGGGTATGGGTGGGTGGTTGGGTATGGGTGGGGTGGGTATGAGTGGGGTGGGTGGGTATGGGTGGGTTGTGTATGGGTGGGTTGGGTATGGGTGGGTGGTTGGGTATGGGTGGGTTGGCCATGGGTGAGTCGGTTGGGTATGGGTGGGGTGGGTGTGGGTGGGTGGGTTGGTATGGGTGAGTGGGTTGACTATGGGCAGGTGGGTATGGGTATGGGTGGGTTGGCTATGGGTGGGGGTTGGCTATGGGTGGGTTGGCTATGGGTGGGTTGGCTATGGGTGGGTTGGCTATGGGTGGGTGTTTATGGGAGTGTGGGAGTGATAGTATGAACCCTTTCCCCATTCCGAGACGCCTGCAAGTGGCAGGGTGGTGGTGTGGCTGTGTAACCCGTTCACCGCCGAATCTCGGAACGCGCGCACAGCGGTTGCGAACGTTAATTTTATTTAGTGAGGAGACGTCGTAGCAGCAGCAGCAGTAGTAGCAGCAGTAGTAGCAGCAGTAGTAGCAGCAGCAGTAGCAGCAGTAGTAGCAGCAGTAGTAGCAGCAGCAATAGAAGTAGTAGCAAAGCAGTAGCAGCAGCAATAGTAGCAGTAGTAGCAGCAGTAGTAGCAGCAGCAGTAGTAGCATAAGCATCAGCAGGAGCAGTAGTAGCAGTAGTAGTAGCAGCAGCAGCAGTATTAGTACCAGCAGTAGTAGTAGTAGCAGCAGTAGTAGCAGCAGCAATAGCAGTAGTAATAGCAGTAGCAGGAGCAGTGGTAGCAGTAGCAGCAGCAGTAGTAGTAGCTGTATCAGCAATAGTAGCAGCAGCAGCAGCATCAGCAGGAGCAGCAGCAGTAGTAGCAGCAGCAGTAGTAGCAGTAGTAGTAGCAGTAGTAGTAGCAGCAGGAGCAGCATCAGCAGGAGCAGTAGTAGCAGGAGCAGCAGCAGGAGCAGCATCAGCAGTAGTAGCAGCAGCAGCAGTAGTAGCAGCAGCAGTGGCGTCGCTGTTTGTACTGTCGCTCACCGCAGACAACTGTAGCGACACGACCGCCGCCACTACAACAGCCGGCGCCAAAACTGTGCCACACACGCGACCTCCCGCATGGCCCTTTCACTTCCGATTCCGTTCGGAATCGATTCAATTCCAATTCGGAAATTGAAAAACTGTTACTCCTTGGTTTTTTCGGTAAAGTCACGTAGAAATAAGACGTAATAAAATAATAACACAATGCTATACTAATACTATGCGACGTTTCGATTGCAACACAAGCAATCTTCATCAGGTACAGAAGAGCTAAATTTAAGAGAGAGAGAGGAAACACACAACCGCAGATATATATACAGACACCCAAATAGAGGGAATTAACAGATGCACAAGGGGATACAAAGACGGAGGAGCACACTAAATCAAACAGGGTTTATAGCAAAATTTAGAAACTATATAAAGCAACACCAGACGGTCGGTCAAAACACAATTATCGCGTGGTCTGCTTGAATACGTTACTTAAAAGATTGCTCAATTATAAGTTAAGTGTGAAATCCAAGAGAGCGCTGGAAAACAGACCGCATTGCAACATACATCGACATCCAAGCATCACGGGTTAGCACAGAGACACACGGGGAGAGACGAGCACACAGGGGGTGAAGCAACATGTCTTATTTCTACGTGCCTTCACCGAAAAAAAAACACAAAGAGTTATCTCCCGCGCAGTCACGAAAGCCACCAAAATCGAGTTTGAAAAACTGCAGACGCCACGTACCGATTTCAGGATGGCCTCCATGACGCGGTAGTAGAGACGCACGGCAAGGCCCCAACGCTGCGAAGACAATTGATCACTCCCCTTCGTATAGCTTGAACAGCATCAGGATATTTCCATAATAAAGGTTCTTGGGTTAGATCGCGTTTATTTATAAATGTGTCGTAACCCTCCACCACCCGACACGGCCAATCAGCAAAAAAAAAAAGTGTCACGTTGACAAAAGACAAATAATTCACTACTTCAGCCCACCGGTGTGTTGAAGAGTTAATCCACATTTACAGTTTGAGTACGACGTTTCGCTGGTAAACACTTCCAGCATCATCGGGCAATTCGCCAGAATGGCGCCAGAATGGCGAATTGCCCGATGATGCTGGAAGTATTTACCAGCGAAACGTCGTACTCAAACTGTAAATGTGGATTAACTCTTCAACACACCGGTGGGCTGAAGTAGTGAATTATTTGTCTTTGTCAACGTGACACTTTTTTTTTTTGCTGATTGGCCGTGTCGGGTGGTGGAGGGTTACGACACATTTATAAATAAACGCGATCTAACCCAAGAACCTTTATTATGAATAATATTGGTCGCGAAAGCCTACGTGTTAAACTGATCAGGATATTTATTCGCAAATACAACACGGACCCCATCGCCATCCGAGCAGGCCAAGCCCCACAGAGTGATTTAAAATTAACTTTTCAGAAGCGACAAATAATAGCTCAACGAAGGGACCCCATCGTTTGGATATTGATAGCGCCCAACGCAATCCAAATAATCGAAATACTGGAGGAATACGATGAGCTGTAAAGCTCTTTTTTTAACAGATGGTCCAGTAGGGGGGCACTTGGTAAGAACGTCACAACAACAAACAGTTACGAAAACATGAAAGTGGGATAAAAAAAAATACAATAAACAACTAAAACCATCCCCATCATCACAGGCAAAGCATTAACTGATTTCTCAGAAGCGACCCAAGCCTCACAAATGATTGCGCAACAAAGTGGGGCCCCCCCCCATCAATTTTTCGAAATTCAAAGCACCGAAATCATCCAAACCGGAGGGCCGACCGAAATTCGGTTTCGGTTTCGGCGCCGAAAGTTCGCCGATGGCCTCTTTCGGCGTAGTTTCTGTTTCGGCACAAGCCAAAAAGCTTTGCTTTTCGGTTTGGGACGAAAGTAAACTTGTAACTTTCGGTCTGGTTTTCGGCCGAAAACCAGACATTCACTTTCGGTCGGCCTCCAATCTAAACAAACAACCTCGATGGGCGTTTCTAAATGTGGAGGGTAAAACCGGAGGACCCCGGAGAAAAACAAAGGGGAGAGGGAGCGTGCAAACTTCGGGGTCGGCATCGGACCACCGGACCCCCCCCCCCCCCGCTGCATACCGAGGCGAGGAAGATGACGTCACACCACTGTAGGGGCAAGTGTGCTGTTGGGTGGCCAACACCACACCCCGGGCCAACAAACACGTGCTGCGGTGGTCACGTGACTCGCACGCAAGGCATATTGGATGGGAGTCGCGCCTAAGACCCGCACCTCCGATTAGCACGGACGGCCACGTACGGCGAGAAGATAAGGCCAGCGTACAGCACACGCGCACACGAACGAAGGCCTGTCGCCGCACTGCGCTGCGATTTCAGATGTGCTTCTGGGGCCGTCTGGAACGCTCTTCAGTCCGACGTCAGGAGCTATGCGCACTTTTATACGCAATCAACATCTAGATTGGCAAATGCATTTCTTTCGCACCGCACGAAGAAGACCGTGCTAATCGGAAGGTGTGGGGGGGGTGGTGGACAACAATCTAAACACAAAAAGCAGTTTAAAATAAATTAGTTTTCAATTTAGTGCAGTGGTGTAATGTATAGTAGTGTATTGTATAGTAGTGTATAGTATAGTAGTGTATAGTATAGTAGTGTATAGTATAGTGTGTAGCATAGTGTATAGTATAGAATGCCGTGTGTTGTAGTGTGTGTTGTAGTGTATAGTATAGTGTGTAGCATAGTGTATAGTATAGAATGTCGTGTAATGTAGTGTGTATTGTAGTGTATAGTGTAGTGTGTAGCATAGTGCATAGTGTAGAATGTTGTGCAATGTAGTGTATATTGTAGTGTATAGTGTAGTGTGTAGCATAGTGTATAGTGTAGAATGTCGTGTAATGTAGTGTATAGTGTAGTGTATAGTGTAGTGTGTAGCATAGTGTATAGTGTAGAATGTTGTGTAATGTAGTGTGTATTGTAGTGTATAGTGTAGTGTGTAGCATAGTGTATAGTGTAGAATGTTGCGTAATGTAGTGTGCTGTAGTGTATAGTGTAGTGTGTAGTATAGAGCATAGTATAGAATGTCGTGTAATGTAGTGTGTATTGTAGTGTATAGTGTAGTGTATAGTGTAGTGTGTAGCATAGTGTATAGTGTAGAATGTCGTATAATGTAGTGTATATTGTAGTGTATAGTGTAGTGTGTAGCATAGTGTATAGTGTAGAATGTCGTGTAATGTAGTGTATATTGTAGTGTATAGTGTAGTGTGTAGCATAGTGCATAGTGTAGAATGTCGTGTAATGTAGTGTGTATTGTAGTGTAGTGTGTAGCATAGTGCATAATGCTGTGTAATGTAGTGTGTATTGTAGTGTATAGTGTAGTGTGTAGCGTAGTGCATAGTATAGAATGTCGTGTAATGTAGTGTGTATTCTAGTGTATAGTGTAGTGTGTAGCGTAGTGCATAGTATAGAATGTCGTGTAATGTAGTGTGTAATGTAGTGTGTAATGTAGTGTGCATTGTAGTGTGTAGCATAGTGCATAGTGTAGAATGTCGTGTAATGTAGTGTGTAATGTAGTGTGCATTGTAGTGTATAGTGTAGTGTATGTACTTTGAACTTCTTTCGCACCGTACGCAGCTACCCATCCTAATTGGGAGATGCTGGGGGGGAGGAGGGGGGGGGGGGACAAACTACCCCACAAAAAACTGTTCCAAAGAAATGAGTTCGTCAATCGAGATGATGATGATGATTTTAAAGTGCAGAGCATCCCAATATCGGAAGGAGGAGAACCCATAGAGATCCAGAGGCTCGTAGAGAACTACAGAGACCCACATTCATGCGTGCTGTTGAACTTCTTCCACCGCACCGTACGTAGCCAACCGTTGCTAACGACGGTATAACGACGACGACGACGATGAGGAGGTGGTGGAACCCTCTCACCTGGTTGGCGGTCCCCGCACAGCCGGCGGACGTAGCCTCCACGAAGTTCCTCTGGAAGCGGGAGCCCACCTCCTCCACCGTGCGCGCGATCTCGGCCCGGGGGTTCACGGAGCAGCGCTGGCAAAAAAAATTGTGATGCGTGGTGACCGCGCGCCGTAGTGTCGACTGGGGGGCTCCATTATTGCAAACTCGCTACTCTAAGTAAGTAATATTTTTTTTTTAAACTTTTTTTTTTTAATTTAAAAACACGCCTTTTATTAAATGTACCAGTCACGGGCAGAACTCCACGACTCCGGGAAGCGGCCCCCAAAGCTCGCTACGACGTGAGGGGGGGGGGCCCCCGTGGCCACTTACAGCCAACGTCAGTTGACCGTGGACAATTAGACCCGAGCCGAAACATAACGTGTAAAAAATAATGTTGAAAAATATAGATTTTTTTATTTTTTTTATGATAGAATATAGTATTGTTCACCAGTACGACACAAGTGTAACAAGTTTGCAGTCGATACCACATTGGGAAGTGGGTCAAAATTGAGTTACAAGATTTGAGGATACAACAACAACAACGACGACAACAGACAGAGTGAGTTAAATGAAAACGTGTAAAAACGTTCTTGTTTATTGTAGTGTGTGGTAGCAGCGTGCGGTGTGCGGTGTGCGGTAGTGGTGCCCGGTTGCCGTGTTCAGTGTGCGGTAGTGGTCCCCGGTTGCTGTGTTCAGAGTGCGGCGTTGCTTACGCTTAGGTAGCTGTTGAGCGTCGTGGATGGTTCATCGCTCGCCGAGTTCAGGATGAGCTTCAGCTGCTGGACCGTGTTCATTGTGGTCCTGGGGAATTCATCGCGAAACGTTAACAAAATAAAAACGTTGAGTTCCCCTCCTCCTCCTTCCCTTCAATCTAGATTTGAAGCTTTTTTTTTCCTCTCTCTCTTGCTGTGCTTTTCCCACCTGACGATGACGACTACTCGAGTTGCAATCGAAACGTCGCGATCTATTTTATTTTATACCCAGGGGCGGAGCCAGGGGGCGGGGGTGACAGGGTAGACAATTGTCACCCCCGAAAAATAAAAAATAAAAAATCGAAAATCTGAAACATTCTGCGTGCGAGTGTACGACACTCGGCCCGGCGGACTCGGTGCAACTGCATTGTCAGAGCGCGTCCGCCAACCGATGGCGTCTGGTTCGACAGCCTGCCTGACTCTCCGAATCATTCTTGAAATAAAACATTTGTTGAACGTCACCCCGGGGGCTGGAAAATCCTGGCTCCGCCCCTGGTTTATACCTACCTGACTTTACCGAAACAACCAAAAAGTATCCCTCTTGCCTTTTTTTCTACCCACCCTCCTCCTCCCCCCCCCCCCCCCAGATAAAACTTAAAGCCCCCCCCCCCCGCCACGCCCCCCGGCACGTGAGCCCCACTCAGTTTAGCGGAGCAGTGAGTCCAATTATTTTATCGACCCCCCACCCGCCTTCATAGACAGATAGGGAGGGTCCTTGACTTAAAGCTTTCGTGAACTGCAGGAATTCATTCATATTCTTCGGTACAGTCACCCCTTCACACGATGATCGACCGCTCGTGTTGCGATCGAAACGTCGGAGTTTTTTTTTCGTTATTTCCGTTGAGCCCACCTGCCTGACTTTACCGAAAGACCCAAAGAGTAGGGGGGAACGGGGGGGGGGGGGGGGGGGGGGGGCCTGTCGCGCCGAGACCGGCATTCACCGTCGCCCAGTTTCCGTGCCTCCTTCCGCTGTGCCATCGGCGCCGTGTTGTAACCGGGGGCTCGCGCCGAGTTGCTATTGGAGCATGCGAAAATAGTGGCGATAAATATTTAAACTAAACTATATTTTTTTATGATGATAGCAATAATAATAATAGGGTTCTCCCCCTTTTTTTCTGGCAGCAAAACTGAAACCTTTTAACAAGGAATCATGGCATTAACCACAATACTTGCGGACAAAATGCAAACAAAAAACTCTTATTCTTGGTTCTTTCGGTAAAGTCACGTAGAAGGGAAACAATAAAATAATAATAAATTATTGTTTTGTATTAATAAAATAATAAAAATATAAAGCAATAGTTTCTTATTATTTTATTGTTTCCCTTCTACGTGGTGGTGACTTTACCGAAAGAACCAAGAATATGAATCCCTGCAGTCACCGAAAACTTTAAATAAAATAAAAAAAACACCGATAATATAATTGGCATTGTCCTTGAATACTGTATTGGTCCACACCAGAGACGGCTTTCTTTTGAGCCTCGTCTCAATTGGTGCTCGACAAGAGGACGCAAGCAGGCGTACACAGCTCAAAGAGTGTGCTTTCTGTTTGTATTTTGACCGCAAGTTATTGCGGTTAATGCACACCACGATCCCTCGCAAAAAAAGGCTTCAGTTTTTTTTGCCAAGAGAAAAAAAACGGGAAAAACCCTATTATTACACTTTGGTCCTGGCAAAGGAGGTCTAATGATACGTTTTCTTATTTTTGCCAGGTAAGGCAGCACCGACCTATTCAGCTCTTTTTCAGAAGCAAATTGGGTCTTCACAAATGATAGTAGCTCAGCACAGTGACCCGCTGTCATCGCGTGGGAATTTGTAGCAGCAGCCAAATGCTGTGAACGCGTGACGTACGATTGTAAATCCGGAGGACCCGGACAAAAATCCACGCGAAAATGGGGACAGATAAAGAGACACGCAAACTCCAAATATACAGCAGCAGAAGCAGCAGGCGTCGTCAGGGTCGGGATCGAACCCGCGACCTTCTGCGTACCAGGCGAGGTAGTTAACATCTCCTAGCCACCGTGATGACGATGAGAGAGAGACACGCAAACTCCAAATATACAGCAGCAAGCGTCGTCACGGTCGGGATTGAACCCACAACCTCCAGTATACCAGGCGAGGTAGTTAACATCTCCTAGCCACCGTGATGATGATGAGAGAGAGAGAGACACGCAAACTCCAAATATACAGCAGCAAGCGTCGTCAGGGTCGGGATCGAACACACGACTTCCTGCATACCAGGCGAGGTAGTTAACATTCTGCCACCGTGGCGGCCTTGAAAGAGAGCAGTGGAGAGGCTGAGAGAGATATTCTCCTCACCTGATTGGCGTCTGCTGCGGTCCCAGCATTGCATCCTGGCTCCTGGTTGGGCTGCCTAGAGCCTGAGGCCTAAGCAAACGGTACGACGTGGGCAATAAAAAAAAAAACGCCGAATCAGAACATTTGTCTACACTGGAGGAATCCAATGAGCTACAAAGTCTCACACATGTCCAGTTTGGGGCAGGTCAGAACGTTACACGTGTATGTCCGTATGTTGAACTTCTAATCGGAGCTGCAGGGTGGTGGAGAGGGGGGGGGGCAAATTTGAATCACAGTTCCTGTGATCACTGTCACATTCTTCTGATAGCTTTATTTTTGTGATTTCGAAAACGTTATGGTTTAGCCATATTTGTTTGTTTGTAGTACAGAGTTAGACTGATAACTTTAATCCAAATTGTCTCATGGTTGCTACTGTTTGACTTGCATCCCACTGGGATTTTTGCACGCGGCGTTGATACGCGGTGCTTTTTCTGCAAGACTTTGCTGGGTTTTTTTTTCCTGGATTTTTCTGTTTGCGCGCAGTCACTTTAAGATGATCCTTGTTCATGTTTTTGCTTGTTGCGGTTGCACCCGATTCAAGAGCCGCATGGCCCACAGGGCTATACCTAATACATGAACTGAAACGACCTAAACACAACAACAACAACAACCAGATTTAAAGAACTGAGTTTTCAATCTAGATTTAAATACAAAAAAAACGAAATCTACAGGAAAGGTGACGTAGGACGCCGGTAAACGCCGCGCGTATAATCTTCATCTCTTTTTTTCATTGGCGTCTTTTAAAAAATCGAAAGGGGAGACATTTTTCCCGCGATAATTGGGGGGCCTTACTTATAGAATAATGTAGCGATTGTTGCAGGCCTTACTGTTTCTCAGTGTCAGGCAACAGAGAGTGGGATGGTTTGGGTCTTAAAATTGTTCACAAAAATTAAAAACGGAGCGATTATCGCGAGCCTTGCTGTTTGTCGGTGCTGGACACGAGGATGGGGAGGGTTAGTGTCTTTAAATACAAACAAATATATATAGAACAATGTAGCGATTATCGCGGGCCTTAGTGCTCGTCAGTGCTGGACAGCAGGGTGGGGTGGTTAGTGGTCTGTACATTTAAAATAAATAACGTGGCGATCATTGCGGGCCTGACCGTTTATCGACAATGGGCACGAAAGTGGGGCGGAGTTAAGTGTCTTTAGAAAAATTTAACGTAGCGATAGTTGCGGGTCGTACTGTTTTTGTCGGCGTTGAGGAATGGGTGGGGTGGTTAGCATCTTAGAATTTAAAAAAAATATATATACGTAAAATAATGTAGCGATAATTGCGGGTCTTAATGTTTTTGTCAACGTTGAGGCATGGGTGGGGTGGTTAGCGTCTTAAAATTAAAAAAATATATATATGTAAAATAACTTAGCGATAATTGCGAGTCTTACTGTTTGTCGGCGTTGGGCACCAGGGTGGGGTGGTGAACGAGGAAGCCTCGCTCGTCGATGCCACGCGTCTGCTCGTACAACGCCCCGTACTGCTCGCTCAGCAGCTGTGACAACGCAGAGGCAGCCAATGTAAATGCAGTGTGGGCGATGCTGTGTGTGACGATGATGTGGATGATGATGATGTGTGTGTGATGCTGTGGATGAAGATGTGTGATTATGATAATGTGCATGATGATGATATGAATGATGACGTGGATGATGATGTGCGATTATGATGTGTGTGATGATGCTGCTGCTGCTGCGTACGATGATGATGATGATGCCGTATGTGTGATGATGTGTGTGATGGTGTGTGATGATGCTGTGTGTGATGATGCTGTGTGTGATGATGCTGTGTGTGGTGATGCTGTGTGTGGTGATGCTGCATGTGGTGATGCTGCGTGTGGTGATGCTGTGTGTGGTGATGCCGCGTGTGGTGATGCTGTGTGTGGTGATGCTGTGTGTGGTGATGCTGCGTGTGGTGATGCTGCGTGTGGTGATGCTGTGTGTGATGATGCTGTGTGTGATGATGCTGTGTGTGATGATGCTGTGTGTGATGATGCTGTGTGTGATGATGCTGTGTGTGATGATGCTGTGTGTGATGATGCTGTGTGTGGTGATGCTGTGTGTGGTGATGCTGCGTGTGGTGATGCTGCGTGTGGTGATGCTGCGTGTGGTGATGCTGTGTGTGGTGATGCTGTGTGGTGATGCTGTGTGTGGTGATGTCGAGGAGGCTCGTGAAGGACGCAGCTACTGGGCACTTGGATGCAATCACCCTCCAACAACAACGAAGGGCAGAGGAGCGACGCTCACAACAACGAGCGGAGCGCCGGGTGGCTAAAGCACAGCAAGTTGGCACAGTAGGGGGCACAGGCGGTGCATCTGCCGGTCGTCTCAGTCAGTCAACCCGTGGCACCTGGGTCTGTCCCATGACCTCGTGCCAGCGGACGTTCGACAAGTCACGTGGCCTTAACATGCACGTAGCCTGGCACAAGTCGCCACAAAGTGGCAAATTGGCGGTTGCTGTACGGTGATGATGGTGTGGCGATGCTGTGCATGATGATGACGTGTGGTGATGCTGTGCATGATGATGATGTCTGTGGTGATGCTGTGCATGATGATGACGTGTGGTGATGCTGTGCATGATGATGACATGTGGTGATGCTGTGCATGATGATGACGTGTGGTGATGATGATGTGTGTGGTGATGCTGTGCATGATGATGACGTGTGGTGATGCTGTGCATGATGATGACGTGTGGTGATGCTGTGCATGATGATGACGTGTGGTGATGCTGTGCATTGTGATGACGTGTGGTGATGCTGTGCATGGTGATGACGTGTGGTGATGCTGTGCATGGTGATGACGTGTGGTGATGCTGTGCATTATGATGACGTGTGGTGATGCTGTGCATGATGATGACGTGTGGTGATGCTGTGCATGATGATGACGTGTGGTGATGCTGTGCATGGTGATGACGTGTGGTGATGCTGTGCATTATGATGACGTGTGGTGATGCTGTGCATGGTGATGACGTGTGGTGATGCTGTGCATTATGATGACGTGTGGTGATGCTGTGCATTATGATGAAGTGTGGTGATGCTGTGCATTATGATGACGTGTGGTGATTCTGTGCATTATGATGACATGTGGCGATGCTGTGCATGATGATGATGTGTGGTGATGATGATAATATGTGTGGTGATGCTGTGCATGATGATGTGTGTGATGATGCTGTGCATGCTGATGTGTGTGGTGATGATGATAATGTGTGTGGTGATGCTGTGCATGATGTGTGTGGTGATGATGATAATGTGTGTGGTGATGCTGTGCATGATGATGATGTGTGTGTGATGATGATGATGTGTGTGGTGATGCTGTGCGTGATGATGATGTGTGTGAGGATGATGTGTGTGTGATGATGATGATGTGTGTGATGATGATGATGTGTGTGGTGATGCTGTGCATGATGATGATGTGTGTGTGATGATGATGATGATGTGTGTGGCGATGCGTAAGTATGATGATGTCTTTTTGAGGTTAAGGCAATTCCCGATGCCGAGCATTATTTACCTGGAGGAGGGAGTCTGTCGTGGTAGCTGGGAGAGAGCTTAGGAAGGGGAGGAAACAGCCGGTGTGAATGCTCATGACCTACACAATTGGGTAAAGAGAGAAGTGTATTAACACAGCAGTGTATTAACACAGCAGTGTATTAACACCAGCAGTGTATTAACACCAGCAGTGTATTAACACCAGCAGTGTATTAACACCAGCAGTGTATCAACACAGCAGTGTATTAACACCAGCAGTGTATTAACACAGCAGTGTATCAACACTAGCAGTGTATTAACACAGCAGTGTATTAACACGGCAGTGTATTAACACAGCAGTGTATCAACACAGCAGTGTATTAACACCAGCAGTGTATTAACACCAGCAGTGTATTAACACCAACAGTGTATTAACACCAGCAGTGTATTAACACCAGCAGTGTATTAACACAGCAGTGTATTAACACCAGCAGTGTATTAACACAGCAGTGTATTAGCACAGCAGTGTATTAACACAGCAATGTATTAACACCAGCAGTGTATTAACACCAGCAGTGTATCAACACAGCAGTGTATTAACACCAGCAGTGTATTAACACCAGCAGTGTATTAACACCAGCAGTGTATTAACACCAGCAGTGTATTAACACAGCAGTGTATTAACACAGCAGTGTATTAGCACAGCAGTGTATTAACACAGCAGTGTATCAACACAGCAGTGTATTAACACAGCAGTGTATTAACACAGCAGTGTATCAACACCAGCAGTGTATTAACACAGCAGTGTATTAACACAGCAGTGTATTAACACCAGCAGTGTATCAACACAACAGTGTATTAACACAGCAGTGTATTAACACCAGCAGTGTATCAACACAGCAGTGTATTAACACAGCAGTGTATTAACACCAGCAGTGTATCAACACAGCAGTGTATCAACACAGCAGTGTATTAACACAGCAGTGTATTAACACCAGCAGTGTATTAACACAGCAGTGTATTAACACCAGCAGTGTATCAACACAACAGTGTATTAACACAGCAGTGTATTAACACCAGCAGTGTATTAACACAGCAGTGTATTAACACCAGCAGTGTATTAACACAGCAGTGTATTAACACCAGCAGTGTATTAACACCAGCAGTGTATTAACACCAGCAGTGTATTAACACCAGCAGTGTATTAACACAGCAGTGTATTAACACAGCAGTGTATTAACACAGCAGTGTATTAACACCAGCAGTGTATCAACACAGCAGTGTATTAACACCAGCAGTGTATTAACACCAGCAGTGTATCAACACCAGCAGTGTATTAACACCAGCAGTGTATTAACACCAACAGTATATTAACACCAGCAGTGTATTAACACCAGCAGTGTATTAACAAAGCAGTGTATTAACAAAGCAGTGTATTAACACAGCAGTGTATTAACACCAGCAGTGTATTAACACCAACAGTGTATTAACACCAGCAGTGTATTAACACCAGCAGTGTATTAACACAGCAGTGTATTAACACAGCAGTGTATCAACACAGCAGTGTATCAACACCAGCAGTGTATTAACACAGCAGTGTATCAACACCAGCAGTGTATTAACACAGCAGTGTATTAACACAGCAGTGTATTAACACAGCAATGTATTAACACCAGCAGTGTATTAACACCAGCAGTGTATTAACACCAGCAGTGTATTAACACCAGCAGTGTATTAACAAAGCAGTGTATCAACACAGCAGTGTATCAACACCAGCAGTGTATTAACACAGCAGTGTATTAACACAGCAGTGTATTAACACAGCAGTGTATTAACACAGCAATGTATTAAAACAGCAGTGTATTAACACAGCAGTGTATTAACACAGCAATGTATTAAAACAACAGTGTATTAACACAGCAGTGTAATAACACAGCAATGTATTAACACAGCAGTGTATTAACACAGCAGTGTATTAACACAGCAGTGTATTAACACAGCAGTGTATTAACACAGCAGTGTATTAACACAGTAGTGTATTAACACAGCAGTGTATTAACACAGCAGTGTATTAACACAGCAGTGTATTAACACCAGCAGTGTATTAACACAGCAGTGTATCAACACAGAAGTGTATTAACACAGCAGTGTATTAACACAGCAGTGTATTAACACAGCAGTGTATCAACACAGCAGTGTATCAACACCAGCAGTGTATTAACACCAGCAGTGTATTAACACAGCAGTGTATCAACACCAGCAGTGTATTAACACCAGCAGTGTATCAACACCAGCAGTGTATTAACACAGCAGTGTATTAACACCAGCAGTGTATCAACACCAGCAGTGTATTAACACAGCAGTGTATTAACACCAGCAGTGTATTAACACAGCAGTGTATTAACACCAGCAGTGTATTAACACAGCAATGTATTAACACCAGCAGTGTATTAACACAGCAGTGTATTAACACCAGCAGTGTATTAACACCAGCAGTGTATTAACACAGCAGTGTATTAACACCAGCAGTGTATTAACACCAGCAGTGTATTAACACCAGCAGTGTATTAACACACAGAAGTGTATTAACACCAGCAGTGTATTAACACCGGCAGTGTATTAACACCAGCAGTGTATTAACACCAGCAGTGTATTAACACACAGAAGTGTATTAACACACAGAAGTGTATTAACACACATAGCATACTCTTTGGTTCTATCTGGAGGACAGCACTGTCCTCCAGACAGTCTGGTCCCTTCACCTGATGAAGGCCGCTTGTGTTGTGGCCGAAACGTCGTGATTTTTTGTTAATTTTTTGGCTATTTTATTTTCACCTACGTGACTTTACCCAATAGAACCAAAGAGTATGGATCCTAGCAGTCACGAAAGCTTTAAATCTAGAACACATAGCATCTTTGGCTACGTACGGTACCAATGAAGTTCAACACACACACAAGCATAGCACGGTTAGCTACGTACGGTGCGAAAGAAGTTCAACACACACATAGCACGGTTGGCTATGTACGGTGCCAATGAAGTTCAACACACACACACAAACCACGGTTGGCTATGTATGGTGCCAATGAAGTTCAACATACACACACACATAGCACGGTTGGCTATGTATGGTGCCAATGAAGTTCAACATACACACACACAAACCACGGTTGGCTATGTATGGTGCCAATGAAGTTCAACATACACACACACATAGCACGGTTGGCTACGTACGGTGCCAGTGAAGTTCAACATACACACACACATAGCACACCACGATTGGCTACGTACGGTGCCAATGAAGCTCAACATACACACACATAGCACGGTTGGCTACGTACGGTGCCAATGAAGTTCAACACACACACAAGCACACCACGGTTGGCTACGTACGTTGCGAAAGAAGTCGAACGTACACATACACACAGCACGGTTGGCTACGTACGGTGCCAATGAAGTTCAACACGCACACACACACACACACCACGGTTGGCTACGTACGTTGCGAAAGAAGTTCAACATGCTCACACACAAGTGCAGCGGGGGCCAGCCTGCACCAGCCTTTGTGAAAAAAAAAAAAAAACTTTTGTTTTTTGTTTTTAACAATGAATCAAAGAGCAACGAGGCTGAAGCTCACCTCCTCGTGGTTGCAGTTGTTGTGACGGCACAGCAGCGCGACGACCGGCGGAGCCACGGCCACCGCGGGCGTCTTCGCGGCGGCGGCCGTGGTCACAGCGGCGGCGGTGCCCTGGCTGTACGAGTGCTCGCCGCTCGAAGCCGCCGGGTCAGCCTCTCCGTCCGTGCCGGACGCCGGTTTGCCGTCCCTCACGGCGGACGCTTCGGCCGGCGGCGGCGGCGGCGGCGGTGGGCGAAAGGGGGTGGTAACACGGATTTTCGGCACACGCCGAATTAAAACCCCCCCCCTCCTCCACATCCCTTCTCGTCCCCTTGCGTTCGTTCGGCGTCCCTGTACGTGCTTTGCGTGTTGCATGTGTTGAACGTGTTGAACTTCTTTGGCTGCGTGTGAATGTGCGTGCGTGTTGAACTTCTTTGGTTGCGTGCGTGTGTGTGTGTGTGCGTGTGCGGGGAGCGATGGCGTAGCGTTCATAGCGCTGCGCTGCGCTATGAACCCGGCGACCCGGGGTTCGATTCCCGCTCACGGCCAACACCGGTGACGATTATCTGAACCGGTCCCGGGCCTCCCCTAGGTCGACTCGGCCTCAAATGAGTACCCGGTGCGGTGTGTAAACATTGCCACTGGGGAGACAAAGGCGGTCGGGCGTGGTGCTGGCCACCCACCCCCTCGTGTACCGTTACCGGCCTTCATAGGTGCTGCTCGCTAACAGCACTTGCCCCTACAGTCTGTTAAGGCTGTACGGGGGATCTTTGTGAGTGTATGTGTGTGCGTTGTGAGCGACTGGCTGAGGTGCCATCTGTTGAGGAAGTGCTGAAGGCGATCTGGAGTCTGAGACCAGGAAAGGCACCGGGCAGAGATGATCTCCCAAGCGAAATGCTGAGGGAGGGTGGGGCGTTTGTGCGCAGACTGCCCTACATGACATCATAACAACAGTCTGGACCACTGGACGGGTTCCGCAGGATTGGAAGGATGCCCTGGTGGTCCCCATCTTTTAGAAGGGGGACCGCACAGACTGTAACAACTACAGGGGCATCTCACTCCTCAGTGTGCCGGGAAAGGTCCTGGCAAAGATTATTCAACATCGCCTTGCCAGGCACGCTGAGGAGAGGCTTGCGGAGCCCCAATGCGGTTTCAGGGAAGGGCGGTCCTGCACAGATGCCATATTTTCTGTCCGTCTGCTACAGCAGAGTTGTAGGGAATTGGAACAAGACCTACATCTCTGCTTTATTGACCTGGTCATGGCCTATGATACCATCAGTAGGCCTGGGCTCTGGGTTATTCTTCGTGCTTTCGGAGTCCCTGACCCTCTGCTCACGATCATTAAGGACCTTCATGATGGTGAGCAGGCCTGGGTAAAACTACGTGGCCGGGAGTCAGAGCCATTCCCTGTGCGCATTGGGGTGTGACAGGGATGTCCTCTGGCTCCCACATTATTTAACATCTATTTCGACGACGTAGTTCGTGAAGCCTTCAATACGAATCTCCATCTGATACAGATACAATGGGAGGCTAATCGATGCCCGGGTGCGGTCAAGGGATGGCTCCCTATTGCTCAACCATGTTATATATGCCGATGATCTGGTAATTGCTGCTCACTCAGAGGAGGAGTTGGAGGCGCTGCTGCTGAACCTGGAGCTTGCCACTAAGAGGTGGGGCCTTACCATCAGCCCCACCAAAACTAAGCACCTGCCTGGGTATTTTGTACCATCGGACACTCCACCCCCACAACTCTCAATTGGTGGTAGGGCAGTTGTGGAGAGAGTGGAGAGTTTCCTATACCTGGGCAGTGTACTTATGACCGGCTCCGGTTTGACAGCAGAGGTCTCACTCCAAATAAATCAAGTGGCATTTTTTCATCGGTTGCGTAACGCTGTGTGGAAGCTACCTGGTCTGTCGCTCCGCACTAAGCTTCAGGCCATCTCGGCCTCAGTCATTCCCTCCCTTCTCTACGCTTGCGAAACGTGGACCCCCTTAATGGAGCATCTCCGCCGGTTAAAAACATTTAGGCTGGCCTGCCTACAATCCATCCTGGGTTTAACCAGGCTGGATTGTGTGTAGCGTATTGTAGTGTATAATGTAGCGAAGTGTGTAGTGTAGTGTGTAGCAATGTGTAACTAGTCTGTAGCATAGTGTGGTGTATAATGTAGTGTAGTGTATAGTCGCGTAGTGTATAGAGTAGTGTGTAGCGTAGTTTGTAGCATGGTGTGTAGTGTATAATGTAGTGCAGTGTGTAGCATATAGTGTAGTGTATAATGTAGTGTAGTGTAGCGTGTAGTGTAGTGTGTAGCAGTGTGTAACTAGTCTGTGGCATAGTGTGGTGTATAATGTAGCGTAGTGCATAGTGTATAGTAGCGTATAATGTCACGTAGTGGAGAGTAGTGTATAGTATTGTATAATGTAGTGTAGTGTGTAGCGCAGTGTGTCGCTAGTGTGTAACTAGTGTGTAGTGTATAATGTAGCATAGTGTGTAGTGTATAATGTAGTGTAGTGTGGAGCATAGTGTGTAGTGTATAACGTAGTGTAGTGTATAACGCAGTGTAGTGTATAACGTAGTGTTGTGTAGCATGTAGTGTAGTGAAGTCATCTTCCCTTCCCCATATGAAAAAAATCCACGCTCCCGGTCCCCACCTGCGTGGGGGAGTGAAGCCCAATGTTTCATGGCAATGATGATGAATATTGATCATGATGTTGACGAGGATGACGCTGTTGATTGCGATGATGACGGTGACAACGGCGAAGGTGATCATGATGTTGATGTGGTTGACAATGTTACTGACAATGACGAAGACGATGATGGCAAAGACGACGATGGTGGTGGCGATGTTGATGACGATGATGATGTTGATGACAATGATGATGATTACGATGACGACGATGTTGACGACGATGTTGACGACAATGTTGACGACGATGTTGACGACGATGTTGACGACGACGTCCCCTTCACCGCGAGCGCTGCTGACTCGCCCCCTCCCCCCCCACCCACCCCCGCGGCGTTACCGTAGGGCTCGTGGAGAGACGAGGCCTGGCAGCGGGAGACAAAGTGGTCCAGGACGCACAGCAGGAGATGGAACGCCGAGACCAGATCCGTGCCGGCCTGGAGCCCGTGGCCTGCGCGACCCAGCCACACGTCAGACAAAGACACCCAGCCACACGTCAAAGGACCCAGCCACACGTCAGACAAAGCACCCAGCCACACGTCAAAGGACCCAGCCACACGTCAAAGGACCCAGCCACACGTCAGACAAAGGGACCCAGCCACACGTCAGACAAAGCACCCAGCCACACGTCAAAGGACCCAGCCACACGTCAGACAAAGGGACCCAGCCACACGTCAGACAAAGACACCCAGCCACACGTCAGACAAAGGACCCAGCCACACGTCGGACAAAGGGACCCAGCCACACGTCAGACAAAGGGACCCCAGCCACACGTCGGACAAAGCACCCAGCCACACGTCGGACAAAGCACCCAGCCACACGTCAGACAAAGGACCAAGCCACACATCGGACAAAGCACCCAGCCACACGTCAGACAAAGGATCCAGCCACACGTCAGACAAAGGGACCCAGCCACACGTCAGACAAAGGGACCCAGCCACATGTCAGACAAAGGGACCCAGCCACATGTCAGACAAAGCACCCAACCACACGTCAGACAAAGGACCCAGCCACACGTCAGACAAAGGGACCCAGCCACACATCAAAGGACCCAGCCACACGTCAGACAAAGGGACCCAGCCACACATCAAAGGACCCAGCCACACGTCAGACAAAGGGACCCAGCCACACATCAAAGGACCCAGCCACACGTCAGACAAAGGGACCCAGCCACACGTCAAAGCACCCAGCCACACGTCAGACAAAGGGACCCAGCCACACATCAAAGGACCCAGCCACACGTCAGACAAAGCACCCAACCACACGTCAGACAAAGGACCCAACCACACGTCAAAGGACCCAGCCACAAGTCAGACAAAGGGACCCAGCCACACGTCAGACAAAGGATCCAGCCACACGTCAGACAAAGGGACCCAGCCACACGTCGGACAAAGGGACCCAGCCACACGTCAGACAAAGGGACCCAGCCACACGTCGGACAAAGGGACCCAGCCAAAGACAATGATCCCCCGTATAGCCTTAACATACTGCTGGGGCAAGTGCTGTTAGCGAGAACGCCGGAAAGGTACACGAGGGGGTTGGGGTGGCCAGCACCACGCCCGACCGCCCTCCTCTCCCTCATGGCGATGCTCACTACGCAACGCACACCAGGTACTCATTTGAGGCCGAGTCGACCTAGGGGAGGCCCCAGGATCAGTTCAGAAAATCCTCACCTGTGGTGGATTCATGTTCCTTGTCAAATTTGATAAACACCGCTGGCACCAACAGAAGGAGATCACTCACCCTTGGCGAGGATGAATGTTGTCCAGCACTCCTTTGCCATCGTGGACGGAAACGGCGAGGCGCTGTGGGGACGTAATATAGTTTTTGTTTTGTTATTGATGTAACGTGTAATGATGTAACGTTATGATGTAAGGTAAGGGAAGCGATGTAACGATGTAATGGAATTATGCAACGTGTAATATTTTCACGTTATATGTAATATTTTCGTTGGTGTAATGCGTAACAGAGGCATTTCCCCTGCAACATTCGCAAATTTGGCGATTTTGGCTACCGGCGGATCGCAGAACTCTACGCGAGAGAGATAACGTGACGTGAGATAATGTGACGAGAGATAACGTGACGTGAGATAACGTGACGTGAGATAACGTGACGTGACGTGAGATAACGTGACGTGACGAGAGATAACGTGACGTGAGAGATAACGTGACGTGAGAGATAACGTGACGTGAGATAACGTGACGTGAGAGATAACGTGACGTGACGTGAGATAACGTGACGAGAGATAACGTGACGTGAGATAACGTGACGTGAGATAACGTGATGAGAGATAACGTGACGTGAGATAACGTGACGAGAGATAACGTGACGTGAGAGATAACGTGACGTGAGATAACGTGACGAGAGATAACGTGACGTGAGAGATAACGTGACGTGAGATAACGTGACGAGAGATAACGTGACGTGAGATAACGTGACGTGAGATAACGTGACGTGAGATAACGTGACGTGAGATAACGTGACGTGAGATAACGTGACGTCAGAGATAACGTGACGTGAGATAACGTGACGAGAGATAACGTGACGTCAGAGATAACGTGACGTCAGAGATAACGTGACATGAGAGATAACGTGACGTGAGATAACGTGACGTGAGATAACGTGACGTGAGATAACGTGACGTGAGATAACGTGACGTGAGAGATAACGTGACGAGAGATAACGTGACGTGAGAGATAACGTGACGAGAGATAACGTGACGTGAGATAACGTGACGTGAGAGATAACGTGACGAGAGATAACGTGACGTGAGATAACGTGACGTGAGATAACGTGACGTCAGAGATAACGTGACGTGAGATAACGTGACGAGAGATAACGTGACGTGAGAGATAACGTGACGTGAGATAACGTGACGTGAGATAACGTGACGTGAGATAACGTGACGTCAGAGATAACGTGAAGAGAGATAACGTGACGTGAGAGATAACATGGAGAAGGCGGAAATGACTGCTGGCCTACCATCGTCCGCAGTCTTCGTTGAAGATCTTGCCGTACATCCTGCAAGGGCGATCGGAGGGGGAGGTGAAAATTCCCACGAGATTAAAGATCAACAAACTCAAAATCCCCCAATCGACAATGAAAAGAAAATGACAGCAGGCATGCAATGATCCCTATCCATCGACGTTATTCGGGTGTCTTCTTTGGTTCTTTCGGTAAAGTCACGTAGAATGAGAATAAAATAATAACTTGATAAAATAAAAAAAGTTCTTCGGGTGCTTCGTCCGGGTCAAAATAATAATAACAACAACAACAATTCCATTCGTATAGCGATTTCATCAAAGGATCTCAACGTTACAGATTACAGCGGCAGCAGCGGCGGCAGCAGCAGCCACTCGGCATGGAAACAATCGCGTCACAAACACGTCTTCAAGAACCCGTTTGCTCGATGGACTAAAAAGGGCTGAACAAGCGGACGCGCACAGATACGTTTCAAGATGCGTTTTTTTAAATAAAAAAAAAATGCCCAGCGGACTCCGGCATCCCTCCATCCCCGCGGAAAGAGCGTTCCCCCGTAGCCTGGGGGCTGAACGGAGAAATTCATCAATCTAGATCCGAAGCGAATCCACGCTCTTTTTGTTCCTTCGGTACAAGGTCCACGTAGGTAAAGCAAAAAGAAAATCAATCGAGGCGACAAGCGGTCGTCCTCAGGTTGGGGAAAAAAACCACGGCAAGAATGTTTTGTTTTTATTTTTTTTGCTGAAGTGGGACAGCTGCCGTGGGGTAAGAGGTTATTATATATATATAGGTAAGAAAGGGGGGAGGGGGGAGGTGGGATAGAGAGAGAGGGGGGAGGGCAACGCTGCATCCACCTGACGATGATTGCTTGTGTTGCAATCGAAACGTCGAGATGTATTTTATTTTATGGCTACATGAATGAGTTAAATGATGACGTCACCCTGCTGCTGCTGCTGTTGCTGCTCTATTTAAGACCGGGAGCAAGTGGAGAGGGCTTCACCATTCCGGCGAATTGCCCGATGATTGCTGGATGTAATTGCCAGCGTAACGTCGTACAACTCAAACTGTAAATGTTGTGGATTCACTCTTCAAACACACCGGTGGGCTACAGTAGTGAACCATTTTTGTCTTTTGTCGACGTGACACTTTTTTTGCCGATTGGCAGTGGTCGGGTGGTGGAGGGTTACGACACATTTATAAATAACGCCATCTAACCCAAAAACCTTTTTATTATGAATTTTCTCCTTATTCTTAGCTCTTTCGGTAAAGTCACGTTGAAGGGAAACAATAAAATAATAAAAATATATATACTTTATTATTTTATTGTTTCCCTTCGACGTGACTTTACCGAAAGAGCTAAGAATATGAATCACTGCAGTCACGAAAGCTTCAAATCAAAATTGAATTTTCTCCTTGTTTATAATCGCCGCCTCTTTAAATTGATCGCATTCCTTTACAAATCTCTCCACGGCACTGGCTCCCCCCCCATCCTTACCTCCCTTCTCTCACCTCACTTCACACCTCCCTGCCCGCTCACCGCGTTCTAAATCCTAGCCTTCCTCTTGTTCCTACTGCTCCTCCTCCTCTCCTCCGTGCGCGCAATCTCGGTCTCGCTCGTTCTCTCTCCGAGCCCCTCGTCACCGGAATCAACTGGCCTTGCACGTCAAACAATCACCCCTCTCTCTCTCTCACACTACCTTCCCGCTCTTCGCTAAAACCACCAATCTCTTGCCCACCCTTCCTTCTCCCCTTGTTGCGCGCTCCCCACCCACACTCCTGTCCCCAACTCCCCATGGTCACCGCCCCCCCTCCCCTCCCCCCCGCCAATCATCAATCCACTCATCTCATTTCCATCTTCATTCATTCCGCGCATCGTCACCGTCACCACATCCGCCCTCATTTTACAAACGGCAAAAACCTTGGGACCGCGAGTAACTTGGCCCGCGAGTGTTTTTTTGCAAGAAGAGCAGAAATTTGTAAGTAAATATTAACTTGATAAACGAGCGAGGGTCTTGCAAATATGAGCAGCGGACGTGTCAGTACGCTTTGTCTCGTCGAGCGTCACGTGATCACAACCGATATACTACGGGAGCGCTTTGACGTACGAGTGCATTGGATTACAAAACACGTTTCCGGAACGAATTATGCTCGCAATCACAAGGCTTTACTGTATATTCAATACACAGGGTGCTTTAAAAAAATGTTAACACTGAAATGGGGCTATCGTTTTAATAATACACCGTAACACGCTAACAAGTGTAACGTTGCTAGCTTCAAAAAGTCAAAGAGCCTCCCCCCCCGGCTTGTTCGCCATCGTTGTCAACAACAACAACACATGCCTGGAATCTTCTCCAGGTGTTCTCTACCAGAGCCCCGGGGGGGGGGGGGGGGACAACATTTATTGGTGGCGTTGTTGTTGTTGCGGTTGTAAATTCTCAGCGGAAGTGTTAACATTTTTTCGAAGCACACCCTGCATACAGCAAAAACCTTTTGCGGATTGCGAGCAAACTTGGTTATGCGAACATCGCACGCGCAACGCTTTGTGCTGCCGAGCGTCACGTGCTCACGACTGCTATACTACGGGCGCGCTTTGACGTACGGGTGCTTTGGATTACAAAACACGTTTCCCGAACGAATCGCGCTCGCAATCCAAAGGTTTTCCTGTAGTTGCCGCATGCACTCGTGCCGAGCCGGCCATCTCGCACCGCAGTTAGTTCACTGCACAGCGCGTCCTTGGTCGAGGCGCTGCAGAAATGCACGGGAAGATAACATCCTGCTCTGTGGGGGTTCCCCCCGCTCGTATCTTTATCGCTCATTCCTCCGTCTCCGTTGGTCTCGTCTCGATCGCTCCACGGACATTCGCGTCTTGGCTTCATTATTCACCGGGTCGCCGAGGAGAGAGGAGTGGGGGGTGGGGGGTGGGGGGGGATGGGCGGCCGGGCGAGGGAGCGGCGTGTCGTTAAGCACTTTAAAAAAAAAATTTTATTTCTGCCGGAATGTTACGACGCCGTCGCGAGCACGGAGCGTCCCGAGGGTGTGGGCCCCCGCTCAAGCGGACATCACGGAGCTTAGCCTGCGACACCTTTCCGAGATGCCTTTCTTCGCCCGGGCCTGCTAAAAAAAGGGAACGCAATTCGATTTTTAGTTTTTTTCCCAAATGCACAGAGGCGTCGATTCGCCGCTCCGTTGCGTTTGGGGAAAAAATTTGAAATCAACGCCGGAGTTTTGGAGGGTTAGATGGCGCAAACGTAAATGTGTCGTTAAACCCGCAGCCACCACGCCGACACAGCCAGTCGGTAAGGGTTTGACACGTAAACAAAACGTGCCGATCAGTTACACGAGTTTGGCACTAACCAACGTGCCGGAGGACTGAACGTCACTGCAATATCTACAATTCGGGTGCCGTGACGTTTCGAACCGGTAACCAATCGGCACGTTTTTTGTTTTTTTAACGTGACAAACCTCGCCAAACGGCCGCGTTTGGGTGGCGGTGGGTTTCACCGACGCAACATTCATATTCGCGGCCAAAAATTCCAAACCCACGTTGCTTCTAAACGTGGAGGGGAATAACCGGAAGACCTGGTGAAAAACACCACGTGGCCACGGCAGGGAGAGACGCAAACCAAATTTACACAGCAGGCATCAAGATCGGGAACGAACCCACGATCTCCTGCATGCCAGGCGAGGGAGATAACATCTCAGCACCTTTTACAGGGATGCGCATCCCCAAGGTAGTTAACATCTCCCCACGATGGCGAGATTTTAACTACCCCGCCTGATGTAAAGGAGGTCTTGGGTTCGATCCCGACCCACTGGTCTCTGCACGTTCTCTCCCCCGAAGTCACGAAGATTTTTCTCCAGGTCTTTCAGCTTTTCCCTCCACGTTTACAATCAACAGCACGCGTTCAGAGTAATTCAGCTGATATAAATTCCACATCGTGATGATGACCGGCCGCTTCGTTCAGCGATCAGCCGTGACGATGGCCAGGTCGCTTCTGCAAAAGGAACTAGACAGCTCAGTGGGGCCTCGCATTGTTAAAAAAAGAAAAATGATTTAACAGTTTTTTTTATCACGTTTAACACGTAGGCTTTCGCGACCAATATTATTCATAATAAATGTTTCTGGGTTAGATCGCGTTTATTTATAAATGTGTTGTAACCCTCCACCACCCGACACGGCCAATCAGCAAAAAAATAAGTGTCACGTTGACAAAAGACAAGATACTTCACTACTTTAGCCCACCGGTGTGTTGAAGAGTGAATCCACATTTACAGCTTGAGTTGTACGACGTTTCGCTGGTAATTACATCCAGCATCATCGGGCAATTTGCCAGAATGGTAAAGCCCTCGCCTGCTCCCGGTCTTAAATAGAGCAGCAGTAGGGTGACATCATCATTTAACTCATTTCAGGTGCAGTGATTTGAGGCGGAGGGGGGGGGGTATTGTAATTATATAATCGATTAGTAATCAGTCAATGGTTATGATTAGTAATGAGTTGTAGATTAGCAATTAGTTGAAATGTGTGTTATTGTGATTATATGCTATGTTAGTAATCCGTTAATTAGTATGTGTTTCCCCTATAAGGAATTGTAATGTGTATTATTTGATAATACGCTTCAAACTGTAAATGTTGTGCATTCACTCTTCAACACACCGGTGGGCTAAAGTTGTGAATTATTTGTCTTTTGTCAACGTGACACTTAATTTTTTTGCTGATTGGCCGTGTCGGGTGGTGGAGGGTTACGACACATTTATAAATAACGCGATCTAACCCCAAAAAACCTTTATTATGAAGTTTTTATCATCGTCGTTATTGTTACGATCGTATTATTACTACGATTATCTCTTACGTTTGGAACTTTTTGTAGATGGCGGCGACGACCTGGAACTGGTTATTCAGGGTGGTGAGCGATAGCTGCATTTCTGACGGAGCATCCATGTTCCGCACGGCGTGGTAGAAATCGTCGAAGCTGTCGCGGCACGGAGGGGGGGGTGGGGGGGGGCGAGACACGACAGAGAGAGACTCTAGCGAGAGAGAGAGAACACGACGGAGAGACGCTAATGAGGGAAAATACTTATTTCCCCCTAATGAGGGAAATAAGTATTTGACCCCGTCTCAATCAGAAAGATTTCTGGCTCCCAGGTGTCTTTTATACAGGTAACGAGCTGAGATTAGGAGCACGCTCTTAAAGGGAGCGCTCCTAATCTCAGCTTGTTACCTTTATAAAAGACACCTGTCCACAGAAGCAATCAATCAATCAGATTCCAAACTCTCCACCATGGCCAAGACCAAAGAGCTCTCCAGGGATGTCAGGGACAAGATTGTAGACCTACACAAGGCTGGAATGGGCTACAAGACCATTGCCAAGCAGCTTGGTGAGGTGACAACAGTTGGTGCGATTATTCGCAAATGGAAGAAACACAAAAGAACTGTCAATCTCCCTCGGCCTGGGGCTCCATGCAAGATCTCATGAGAACGGTGAGGAATCAGCCCAGAACTACACGGGAGGATCTTGTCAATGATCTCAAGGCAGCTGGGACCATAGTCACCAAGAAAACAATTGGTAACACACTACGCCGTGAAGGACTGAAATCCTGCAACGCCCGCAAGGTCCCCCTGCTCAAGAAAGCACATATACATGCCCGTCTGAAGCTTGCCAATGAATATCTGAATGATTCAGAGGACAACTGGGTGAAAGTGTTGTGGTCAGATGAGACCAAAATGGAGCTCTTTGGCATCAACTCAACTCGCCGAGTTTGGAGGAGGAGGAATGCTGCCTATGACCCCAAGAACACCATCCCCACCGTCAAACATGGAGGTGGAAACATTATGCTTTGGGGTGTTTTTCTGCTAAGGGGACAGGACAACTTCACGATGGACAGGGCCATGTATCGTCAAATCTTGGGTGAGAACCTCCTTCCCTCAGCCAGGGCATTGAAAATGGGTCGTGGATGGGTATTCCAGCATGACAATGACCCAAAACACATGGCCAAGGCAACAAAGGAGTGGCTCAAGAAGAAGCCCATTAAGGTCCTGGAGTGGCCTAGCCAGTCTCCAGACCTTAAACCCATAGAAAATCTGTGGAGGGAGCTGAAGGTTCGAGTTGCCAAACGTCAGCCTCGAAACCTTAATGACTTGGAGAAGATCTGCAAAGAGGAGTGGGACAAAATCCCTCCTGAGATGTGTGCAAACCTGGTGGCCAACTACAAGAAACGTCTGACCTCTGTGATTGCCAACAAGGGTTTTGCCACCAAGTACTAAGTCATGTTTTGCAGAGGGGTCAAATACTTATTTCCCTCATTAAAATGCAAATCAATTTATAACATTTTTGACATGCATTTTTCTGGATTTTTTTGTTGTTATTCCGTCTCTCACTGTTCAAATAAACCTACCATTAAAATTATAGACTGATCATTTCTTTGTCAGTGGGCAAACGTACAAAATCAGCAGGGGATCAAATACTTTTTTTCCCTCACTGTAGCCCACCGTGCTATGTGTGTGTGCATGTTGAACTCCTTTCGCACCGTACGTAGCCCACCATGCTATGTGTGTGTGTGCATGTTGAACTACTTTAACGCCGTACGTAGCCAACCGTGCTATGTGCGTGTGCATGTTGAACTACTTTCACGCCGTACGTAGCCAACCATGCTAATCAGGGGTACAGAGGGAAGGACGACAGATTAAACACAAAAGGCAATTCTAAAGAAATACGTTTTCAATCTAGCATAGTAGTGCATAGCGTAGTGTGTGCGTGTTGAAACTTCTTTCACGCTGTACGTAGCCAACTGTGCTAATCGGCGGTGCGGGGGAAAGACAACAAACGAAACACAAAAAGCAGCTCGAAATAAACGAGTTTCCGATTGATTACAGTAGCGCAGTGTACAGTGTCGTGTATAGCGTAGTGTAGTATGTAGTGTATACTGTAGGCGTGTACTGCAGCGTATAGTGCAGCGTACGTGCGTTGAACTTCTTTCGCGCCGTACGTGGCCAACCGCGCTAATCGGAGGTGCGCAACTCACCTGACACCAAGCTCGGAGAGAAGCTGCGTGACCTTGATGGGCAATGGCTTCATGGCGGCGATGTAAAGGCAGACGGCCAGCGTCGGAGCACAGCTCTGAGACAAACAGAAACAAAAAAACACGCAGAGATACCCACACCCCCCCCGACACCCACTCGTCGCACACAAAGCGCTCGTCGCAAATGAACGACCGCAATACCTCGCCGAGCTCGTCAAGGAGCGCAAGCCATTCATAATGAAAGGTCTTTGGGTTAGATGGCGTCATTTATAAATGTGTCGTAACCCTCTCCACCACCCGACACGGCCAATCGGCAAAACAAAAAAAAGCGTCACGTTGACAAAAGACAAAAATAGTTCACTACTTTTAGCCCACCGGTGTGTTTGAAGAGTGAGTCCACAACATTTACAGTTTGAGTTGCACGACGTTTCGCTGGTAATTACATCCAGCAATCAGCGGGCAATTCGCCAGAATGGTGAAGCCCTCTCCACTTGCTCTCGGTCTTAAATAGAGCAGCAGTAGGGTGACGTCATCATTTAACTCATTTCAGGTGCAGTGATTTGAGGCGGAGGGGGGGGGGTATTGTAATTATATAATCGATTAGTAATCAGTCAATGGTTATGATTAGTAATTAGTTGTAATGTGTGTTAGTGATTATATGCTATGTTAGTAATCCATTAATTAGTATGTGTTTCCCCTATAAGGAATTGTAACGTGTATTATTTAATAATACGCTTCCAGGCCGCACTAAGCCTGTAGCTGTCAGAGTGATTAAAGTTATTTTTATTCCTCTCAATTTCAATAGATTCTCTAATTAGTCTTTGCCAGTAACAATTAGTTTTACACAACACTTCAACGTTATCAAAATCAATTGAGTGTCCTTGTTGACAAGCATGTTCTGCCACTGCCGACAGTTGTGTTTGAGATAATTTAATATTTCTTTGATGTTCTTTTAGTCTTACGCTGATGTTACGTCCCGTCTGTCCAATATAGCGCGACACTCCGGTGGTTATCCGCGCAGCAGCGGCGGATAACCACAAATAGCTTTAGGCGCGCGAAATCATTTGGTCTGTTCCAGCCATCACATTAGGGGGGCGAGTTAATTCAATGTTTGACCAAATATAATTTTGAAGTTGATCATTTTGTATGGCCCGCGAATGTTATTATAAATATCCAAATGGCCCTTAACAGAAAAAAGGTTCCCCACCCATAGACGCATCAGACAATGACCCATAGACTCATCACACAGAGACCCATAGACTCATCACACAGAGACCCATAGACTCATCACACAGAGACCCATAGACTCATCACACAGAGACCCATAGACTCGTCACATAGAGACCCACAGACTCATCACACAGAGACCCATAGACTCATTACACAGAGACCCATGGACTCGCACAGAAACCCACAGACTCATCACACAAAGACTCATGACACTGTATCGCGTGCTTTCAGATGCGCTTCTGCGGCCATCTGGAACACCCTTCCTTCCGAAATTAGGAAGTCGCCGGGAGCTGTGAAGACTTTTAAACCATCGTGTAGATTGGTAAACTAATTTCTTTAGAACTGCTTCTTGGTGTTGTGATTAGTGTGTCGTTCCCCCCCCCCCGCATCCCGCACCTCCGATTAGGGCGGCTGGCTACGTACCGTGCGGAAAATAATTTCAACCTACGTGCGGATATAAACAATTTTAATGAAAACATCAAAACGAATATCTCACCTGCGCAGAGTCGGGCTTGCATGTCAATTCCCAGAGCCTCCAGGCCATCTTGCACGTCTCATCGGTGGCGCCCACAGCCACACAAACCTTCTCCAGCTTCCTCCGCCACCCATCCTCTTCACCGTCGCTGCTGCTGCTGCTGGCGCTGCCGCCGCCGCTGCTGCCGCTTTCAACACCCACAGAGCGAAATCAAACAGCCGTGAAATTTCAGAATTATCGCCATCTTCATTTATGCTGGAGGAAACCGATGAGCTATTAAAGCTCTTTTTTCAACAGATGGTCGGTCCAGTAGCAGAACACGTGTGATTGTCAGAATGTTACAACAAACTAAAACACGATATGGCGTGCAAAAGTATAGGGGTGGAAAGCAGATCACTAAAGAAAGTTGTATTTTTTTATTTTACCAGGTAAAGCCCACTGAACCATCAGCTTCTTTTTCAGAAGCGCCCTGGCCGCTAATGACAGCTCAGCTGAGTGGCTTTTTCGCGTGGGAATTGATAGCAGCCAATTTTTTTTTTAATAACTCTAAACGCGTGATGTTGATACTAAACATGGGGGGGAAAAACCGGGGGACCCGGAGGACAAAATAAACACGTGACCACGGGGAGAGAGACACGCAAACTCCAATTATACAGCGGGCGCCAGGGTCGGGATGATTGTATCGGCACACACCGGTGACAAGATCTATCGATTGATAATCGTCGGGGAAGACAATAAGCCGACAGATTTAAAAAAAACACACACATCTTAATTCATACGTATATCCGAGAATCTCAGACCAGTTCTGGAAGAATGCTGGCAAAGAGAGTGGAACGATGCCATCGGACGTCCAGAATAAGCGTTTGATTTAGCACGGGTTTGCTCGCAGTGCTCCTCCAGGTGTGATTCGCGGATTCGCAAACATCGCGGACAGCAAGCGCGTGAACAGCGAGGGAATACCGGATTTAAATTTTGTAATCTTTGGTTCTAATGGGTAAAGTCACGTAGGTAAAAAAAAAATAACAAAAATCACGACGTTTCGGCCACAACACAAGCGGCCTTCATCAGGTGAAGGGACGAGACTGTCTGGAGGACAGCGCTGGAGTGAAAAAAGCCACGATCAGATCACTCCAGCGCTGTCCTCCAGACAGTCTCGTCCCTTCACCTGATGAAGGCCGCTTGTGTTGTGGCCGAAACATCGTGATTTTTGTTATTATTTTTTTTACCTACGTGACTTTACCCAATAGAACCAAAGAGTATGGATCCTTGCAGTCACGAAAGCTTTAAATCTAGAATTTAAATTTCGATTTAAAGCTTTCGTGACTGCAGGGATTCATATTCTTGGTTCTTTCGGTAAAGCAAGAAAAAAAATTTGCTGTGGTTTTTCACACCCGATGATGATTTGCTTGTGTTATCGAAACGTCATAATTTTATTATTTCCCTTCTACGTGACTTTACCGAAAGAACCACGAATATGAATACCGTATTGTTAAAAAAACAGCTGTACAATATTTATTTTTGCCTTGACCGGGGTGCTACAATGTTAGAATTTTCGATGCGAGTGCTTTTGCCAATAACATCCGACAAAAAAGCCTGCCTCTTGCCGATGAGGCCCATGATGTCGAAACCAGTCCAGAGTTCGCTTGCTATCGGCTGTTCGCACTGTTCACCGAAAGCTTTTGATTAACAAACCAGACTCTTGCTGATGAGACCCATGATGTCAAAACCAGTCCAGAGTTCGCTTGCTATCGGCTGTTCCGCACCGTTCACAAATAGCTTTAGATTAGTTTAACACGTTCAAGCTTTGATTAACAAGCCAGACTCTTGCTGATGAGACCCATGATGTCAAAACCAGTCTAGAGTTCACTTGCTATCGGCTGTTCCGCACTGTTCACAAATAGCTTTAGGTGAGTTTAACACGTTCAAGCTTAAATGAACAAGACAGAATCTTGCTGATGAGGCCCATGATGCCAAAACCAGTCCAGCTTTCGCTTGCTATCGGCTGTTCCGCACTGTTTACCAATAGCTTTAGATTAGTTTAACACGTTCAAGTTTTAATGAACAAGCTAGCCTCTTGCTGATGAGACCCATGATGTCAAAACCAGTCCAGAGTTCGCTTGCTATCGGCTATTCCGCACTATTCACAAACAGCTTTAGATTAGTTTAACACGTTCAAGCTTTGATTAACAAGCCAGAATCTTGCTGATGAGACCCATGATGTCAAAACCAGTTCAGAGTTCGCCTGCTATCGGCTGTTCCGCACTATTCACAAACAGCTTTAGGTTAGTTTAACACATTCAAGCTTTGATTGACAAGCCAGAATCTTGCTGATGAGACCCATGATGTCAACACCAGTCCAGAGTTCGCTTGCTATCGGCTGCTCCGCACCGTTCACAAATAGCTTTAGATTAGTTTAACACGTTCAAGCTTTAATGAACAAGCCAGAATCTTGCTGATGAGACCCATGATGTCAAAACCAGTCTAGAGTTCACTTGCTATCAGCTGTTCCGCACTGTTCACAAATAGCTTTAGATTAGTTTAACACGTTCAAGCTTTAATGACCAAGCCAGAATCTTGCTGATGAGACCCATGATGTCAAAACCAGTCTAGAGTTCACTTGCTATCGGCTGTTCCGCACTGTTCACAAATAGCTTTAGATTAGTTTAACACGTTCAAGCTTTGATTAACAAGCTAGCCTCTTGCTGATGAGACCCACTGTCGAAGCCGGTCCAGAATTGTACTTGGGACAAATTCTTCCGGATAATATTGGGTCTGGAAGGAAAGTCAATCAATAGGATGCCAATGGGGTAATAATAACTGTAGTACTTATATGTTAGAGAAGAAGAAGACTCATACATCGTAACGAGAGTTGTGTTTTCGATGGGGGGGTTTTGTTTTTACTGTATGTTAGTTTAGTCCCAAAAAAACATTTTAAAAAAATCCGTCGAATCTGAGGCGAATCTGAGGTAAAACAATAACTTCAACACTCTTTTCGGAATATTTCGGGATGAACTTTTAAAAAATGTTTTATTCGCGTCAATCAATCAACCAAAATCATCACGTCGCAAAAAGCAGCCCCCATTATATGTTAGAGAAGAAGAAGACTCATACATCGTAACGAGAGTTGTGTTTTCGATGGGGGGGTTTTGTTTTTACTGTATGTTAGTTTAGTCCCAAAAAAACATTTTAAAAAAATCCGTCGAATCTGAGGCGAATCTGAGGTAAAACAATAACTTCAACACTCTTTCGGAATATTTCGGGATGAACTTTTAAAAAATGTTTTATTCGCGTCAATCAATCAACCAAAATCATCACGTCGCAAAAAGCAGCCCCCATTCGTTTAAAGCGCGCGCAGGCCTCGTAACTTCAACAGCAAAATCGTCGTCGGTCAAGTAATCTTTTAAAAGGCGACACGCGGCAAAAAAAATAGACGATTAAAAACCACCGTCCTTCTGGAGCACACTTTAAAACGAACAAACTGTGCTTAAAAGCGAAACTTTAAAGCAATTCTATGCGCGCAAAACGTGTTTCGATGCTGCTGCTGCTGCTGCGTTGGACGTGCTGCACAAGACGACACCGGCCCAATGATTCAACGTTTGCCGAACCTTTAACATACGAGTGACACGTTATTAGTGTGTGTGTGTGTGTTTATACATACGATGTGGTAGTCGGCGACGTTTCGGGCAATGGCCCTTGTTCACGACAAGCTCTCGTCGAGGTGTAAAAAACAACAAAAACACAGCCAAACCTCGACAAAACGCACAGGGTTCGCAGCGCCCTCTTCAATAAGGAGGGCCAGCTGCCCGAAACGTCTACCCGGTTGACGTATTTGCATTTATTTTTAAGGAGTGTGGTGGTGTGGGGGGGTGGGAGCAACGATTTTTGAGGTAATGCGCTGTTGTCGAACTCGATGTAGAATGTTTTTGGTTTAAATTTGTGTTAAACTATTTTCAATAAAGCGATGGTTAAAAAGGGTTCAGACCAAGCGCGCTGCGGCCTAGCGAGACCGACCGACCGACGAAACCCTCCCGCGGTTGAACCACCCCCGGAACGTCGTCCCCGTCGTCGTTTTACCTGACGAGCGAAGCGGTCGAGCTGTCGTGTTCACCACCTTCCTTGAGGGACATCATCAGCGCCACCACCACCACCACAACAACCACCACCAAACACAGGGAATTGTTGTTGGGGAGGGGAGGTGAGTGTAGCTGATTTGCGAGTTGTTGTTTATAATTTTTGTTATTCTCTTTAAACGTATCGCCGCTTTATTCTTTCCACTTCTTAAAAAAACAATCGCCTTCTCGTGGAGCCCGACGCGCGCGATTTTAATAATTATTATTATAATTTTTATTTTTTATTCCTCCCTTTCCCCTCAGGGGCAACCCGGCTCGGCACTCAATTTCGCGCGCAATCCCCCGGTGGCGAACGGCCACGCGAAGTTCGCCGAGCGTCGCTTGTCCCGACGCGAGAGCTCGGGGCTCGCTGTGAGTGGGGAGGGGGGAGGAGGAGGAGGGGGAGGGGGAGGAGCCCTGCGACTTGGGGTTGGAAGTCGCTGGAGAGAAGGGAACGGGCGGTGAGGGGGGCGGGGTGGTCACCGGGGAGGGGGCGGGGTTTAAGGGGGTAAGGGGGGGGGGTTGTGGATGAGAGGGGGGTGGGGTGGTCACGGGGGGAGGGGGCGTGGTTTAAGGGGGCAAGGGGTGGGGGAGGGTTGTGGGGGAAAGGAGGGTGGGGTGGTCACGGGGGGAGGGGGCGGGGTTTAAGGGGTGTGGGAGGGTTGTGGGTGAGAGGGGGGTGGGGTGGTCACGGGGGGAAGGGGCGTGGTTTAAGGGGGTAAGGGGTGGGTGAGAGGGGGGTGGGGTGGTCACGGGGGGAAGGGGCGTGGTTTAAGGGGGTAAGGGGTGGGGGAGGGTTGTGGGTGAGAGGGGGGTGGGGTGGTCACCGGGGGGAGGGGGCGGGGTTTAAGGGGGTAAGGGGTGAGGGAGGGTTGTGGGTGAGAGGGGGGTGGGGTGGTCACGGGGGGGCGGGGTTTAAGGGGGTAAGGGGTGGGGGGCCCCACGCGCGAGGACGGAGTAGTAACCGGAAGTGAAGCGGTACGTCTCGCGCCGAGCGCGGGAAAATCGACTTCCGGGAGTTGACTCCGCCCCCCCCGCGCGCTCCCGCGCACGCGCGTGTGTGTGGGAGGGGGGTTCGCGGTGGGGGGGGGAAGTTTGGGTTGGGGGGGGAAGGTTTTATGGGGGGTCACGTGACAAGTGGGGGAAGTTTGGGGGGGTCACGTGACAAGTGGGGGGAGTTTGGGGGGTCACGTGACAAGTGGGGGGTGGGGGCGAGAGTTCGCGGTGCGGTGGGGGGGAGAGTTTGGGGGAGTCACGTGACAAGTGGGGGCGGCACGGTCAGAATGGCGGGAGGGGGGGAAAGTTTGGTCGGTCACGTGACACCGACATTGCGGTGGTTGTGGGGAGGGTGGGAGGGGGTCGGGTCACGTGACAATGACATAGCGGGGGGTGTTGTACTGGTATGAACGAAGTTGTAAACTGAGTGTACCAGCCTGCAATAGATTACTGTGTCCGTCCCCTTTCAATACTTTAACGAAGTGAAATCTCGTGCTGTTGGGGTGTAAAACTAAAATTGCGCAAAATTCCAATGTTCCTACCAGCCCACCCTGCAGGGACCTGTTCTTCTTTGGTTCTTTCGGTAAAGTCACCACCACGTAGAATGATAATAAAATAATAAAATAATACAATAAAATTCTCACGACGTTTCGGCCACAACGCAAGCGGCCGTCTTCAGCTCTGTCGTCCCGACAGTTCTGTACCTTTCACCTGAAGACGGCCGCTTGCGTTGTGGCCGAAACGTCGCGAGAATTTTATTGTGTTATTTTATTATTTTATTCTCATTCCACGTGGTGGTGACTTTACCGAAAGAACCAAAGATGAATCCTTGCAGTCACGAAAGCTTCAAAGCGGGGGGTTTGTTCCGCATTATAAGACGCACTTTAAATTACCACTGTAATCAGGTAGGGCACTAATAATGGGTTGACAGGTATGTAGTACTGTAGTGTATAGTGTAGTGTATGGTGTAGTGTATAGTAGTGTATGGTGTAGTGTATAGTGTAGTGTATAGTAATGTATGGTGTAGTGTATAGTAGTGTATAGTAGTGTATAGTAGTGTATAGTAGTGTATGGTGTAGTGTATAGCAGTGTATGGTGTAGTGTATAGTAGTGTATGGTGTAGTGTATAGTAGTGTATGGTGTAGTGTATGGTGTAGTGTATAGTGTCGTGTATAGTAGTGTATGGTGTAGTGTATAGTAGTGTATGGTGTAGTGTATAGTAGTGTATGGTGTAGTGTATAGTATTGTATAGTGTAGTATATAGTAGTGTATAGTGTAGTGTATAGTAGTGTATGGTGTAGTGTATAGTGTAGTGTATAGTAGTGTATGGTGTAGTGTATAGTAGTGTATGGTATAGTGTATAGTAGTGTATAGAGGTGTATGGTGTAGTGTATAGTAGTGTATGGTGTAGTGTATAGTGTATAGTAGTGTATGGTGTAGTGTATAGTATTGTATGGTGTAGTGTATAGTGTAGTGTATAGTAGTGCATAGTGTCGTGTATAGTGTAGTGTATAGTAGTGTATAGTAGTGTATAGTGTAATGTATAGTAGTGTATAGTGTAGTGTATAGTAGTGCATAGTGTCGTGTATAGTGTAGTGTATAGTGTAGTGTATAGTAGTGTATAGTGTAGTGTATAGTAGTGTATAGTGTATTATAGTGTAGTGTATAGTCGTGTATGGTGTAGTGTATAGTAGTGTATAGTGTAGTGTATAGTAGTGTATGGTGTAGTGTATAGTAGTGTATAGTTGTGTATGGTGTAGTGTATAGTGTAGTATAGTAGTGTATGGTGTAGTATATAGTTGTGTATGGTGTAGTGTATAGTTGTGTATGGCGTATTGTATAGTGTAATATATAGTAGTGTATGGTGTAGTATATAGTAGTGTATAGTGTAGTGTATAGTAGTGTAGTGTATGGTAGTGTATAGTGTAGTGTATAGTAGTGTATGGTGTAGTGTATTGTAGTGTATAGTGTAGTGTATAATAGTATATGGTGTAGTGTATAGTGTAATATATAGTAGTGTATGATGTAGTGTTTCGTGTCGTGTATAGTGTATGGGGCCGTCCATAAATGACGTCACGCGATTTTGATCGATTTTTGACCCCGCCCCCCCTCGTCACGCGGCGTCACAAAAAGTCAGACCCCCCCTCAAATGACGTCACAAAGCTCTGCCCCCCCCCCCCAAAAACCATATTTCCATTTTGAAAATAAAACATGCTTCAAATCGCTTTAAACTATCGTAATTGTAGCGCGTATTTAATGTGGCGCTGCACTCTGATGTTGTAGGAGAAAACATTTATTGAAAACGTCTATTTAATTAAGTAGAAACGTGTTGTCTTTATTTATTTAAATTTGCGCATTTTGATGTGACGTCACATTTCTCAAACTCCCCCCCCCCCCTCTCGTCACACATCGTCACAAATGTCTGACCCCCCCCCCTCCTAGGTCCGTGACGTCATTCATGGACGCCACCACCACTGTGACGATTATTTGAACCGGTCCTGGGGCCTCCCTTTAGGTCGACTCAGCCTCAAGTGAGTTTTCGGTTCGATGTGTGGGCAATAGACATCGCCACTGGGGGAGAGACAAAGGCGGTCGGGCGGCCGTGCTTGCTGGCCACCCACCTCCCTCGTGTGCGACAGCGCCGGACCTTCATAGGTGCTGCTCGCTAACAGCACTTGCCCCTACAGCCTGTTAGAGGCTACACGGGGGATCTTTGTCTGTGTATAGGTGCTGCTGCTACTACTCGCTAACAGCACTTGCCCCTTCAGCCTGTTAGAGGCTACACGGGGGATCTTTGTCTGTGTATAGGTGCTGCTGCTGCTACTCGCTAACAGCACTTGCCCCTACAGCCTGTTAGAGGCTACACGGGGGATCTTTGTCTGTGTATAGGTGCAGCTGCTACTCGCTAACAGCACTTGCCCCTACAGCCTGTTAGAGGCTACACGGGGATCTTTGTCTGCGTATAGGTGCTGCTACTCGCTAACAGCACTTGCCCCTTCAGCCTGTTAGAGGCTACACGGGGGATCTTTGTCTGTTTATAGGTGCTGCTGCTACTACTCGCTAACAGCACTTGCCCCTTCAGCCTGTTAGAGGCTACACGGTGGATCTTTGTCTATGCATAGGTGCTGCTGCTGCTACTCGCTAACAGCACTTGCCCCTACAGCCTGTTAGAGGCTACACGGGGGATCTTTGTCTGTGTATAGGTGCTGCTGCTACTCGCTAACAGCACTTGCCCCTACAGCCTGTTAGAGGCTACACGGGGATCTTTGTCTGCGTATAGGTGCTGCTACTCGCTAACAGCACTTGCCCCTACAGCCTGTTAGAGGCTACACGGGGGATCTTTGTCTGTTTATAGGTGCTGCTGCTACTACTCGCTAACAGCACTTGCCCCTTCAGCCTGTTAGAGGCTACACGGTGGATCTTTGTCTATGCATAGGTGCTGCTGCTGCTACTCGCTAACAGCACTTGCCCCTACAGCCTGTTAGAGGCTACACGGGGGATCTTTGTCTGTGTATAGGTGCTGCTGCTGCTCGCTAACAGCACTTGCCCCTACAGCCTGTTAGAGGCTACACGGGGGATCTTTGTCTGTGTATAGGTGCTGCTGCTACTCGCTAACAGCACTTGCCCCTACAGCCTGTTAGAGGCTACACGGGGATCTTTGTCTGTGTATAGGTGCTGCTACTCGCTAACAGCACTTGCCCCTACAGCCTGTTAGAGGCTACACGGGGGATCTTTGTCTGTGTATAGGTGCTGCTGCTACTCGCTAACAGCACTTGCCCCTACAGCCTGTTAGAGGCTACACGGGGGGATCTTTGTCTGTGTATAGGTGCTGCTGCTACTCGCTAACAGCACTTGCCCCTACAGCCTGTTAGAGGCTACACGGGGGATCTTTGTCTGTGTATAGGTGCTGCTGCTGCTCGCTTACAGCACTTGCCCCTACAGTCTGTTAGAGGCTACACGGGGGATCTTTGTCTGTGTATAGGTGCTGCTGCTACTCGCTAACAGCACTTGCCCCTACAGCCTGTTAGAGGCTACACGGGGGATCTTTGTCTGTGTATAGGTGCTGCTGCTGCTACTCGCTAACAGCACTTGCCCCTACAGCCTGTTAGAGGCTACACGGGGGATCTTTGTCTGTGTATAGGTGCTGCTGCTGCTACTCGCTAACAGCACTTGCCCCTACAGCCTGTTAGACGCTACACGGGGGATCTTTGTCTGTGTATAGGTGCTGCTGCTGCTCGCTAACAGCACTTGCCCCTACAGCCTGTTAGAGGCTACACGGGGGATCTTTGTCTGTGTATAGGTGCTGCTGCTACTCGCTAACAGCACTTGCCCCTACAGCCTGTTAGAGGCTACACGGGGGATCTTTGTCTGTGTATAGGTGCTGCTGCTACTCGCTAACAGCACTTGCCCCTA